TTTACGCATAAAAAGTAGTTTTTAGGAGTTTTTGTCAAATGCTTTATAATACAGTATAGATTATTTTTTATTATAATTTAATTTAAATTTTATAATGAAATAATTTATTTTTAATTTAATAATATAACATTTTATAAAGATAATAATTAAGTATTCTGTTAGAATTCAATGATTATCCTAATAATATTTTAGATTTTTTATATTTAAAATGAGATGTTTATCCTGTATTTGATTGTGTTTATCTGCAGTTAGTTACACGAATTCAAATATGGGATGAAATCGGATAAGGATGAAAGTTTTTAAGAGTTTTAAGAGTTTTTAAGAGTTTTAGCCAAATGCTTTATAAGATAGTATATATATATATATATACATACATACATATATGTATATATACTAGAAGGGGTACTCGCACAATGCAGCGAGATATATCTTGATTTTAATGTTCTATTTTATTATTTGTCTCTGTCGATGTTATAATACAATTTTATGTATTTTTAAAAAAACAATAATGATTTTATTTTTGAATAAAATATAATTTTAAAGATATCATAAAAAATTTGAAAAAAAATTACATCAATATTAATATCAAATCAACTATTTAAAAGTTATATTATTTATGTAATTTCTTTAATTTATTTTTTTTTATTGTAATTTCATTTAAGTTTAATAATAAAATAATGTTTATCCTGTATTTGATTATGTTTATTTGCAGTTAGTTATACGAATTCAGATATGAAGCTTTAATAAGTTGTACTTATGCACAATTTACTTGTAATTTTGAGTTTTAAGTAACATGCATGAATAAACAGTACTTTATGCATAAAAATAGTTTTTAAGAGTTTTTTTTCAGATGCTTTATAATATAACTAGAAGAGTATTCGCGCAATGCAGCGAAACGCATATCGATTTTAATGTTCTATTTTTTATTTGTTTCTGTCGATTTTATAATACGATTTTATGTGTTTTTAAGAAAACAATAATTGAATAAAATATAAATTTGAAGATATTGTAAAAATTTGAAAAAAAAATAAATCAATTATTTAAAAGTTTTCATTTTTATGTAATTAATTTAATTTATTTTTTTATTATAATTTAATTTAAGTTTAATAACGAAATAATTTATTTTTGATTTAATAATATAACATTTTATAAAGATAATAATTATCCTTATTATATTTTAGATTTTTTATATTTAAAATGAGATGTTTATCCTGTATTTTATTATGTTTATCTCCAGTTAGTTACACGAATTCAAATATGGAGCTTTAATAAGTTGTACTTACGGACAATATACTTGCAATTTTGAGTTTTAAATAATATGCATTAATAAACAATACTTTACGCATAAAAAATGGTTTTTTAAGAGTTTTTTGTCAAATGCTTTATAATATAGTATAGATATAGATATGTATGTATGTGTGTGTGTATATATAGGCATGAATTATGATCAAACGAGTACGTTATTTATTTAAAAGAACACGAAAACGGACAAATCACTTGTAAAAAAATTATATTAATGTAAAAAAAGTGTCAGGGTGACTTGTGGCTGGGTCTTCAGGTCGCCGTTAAGGTCGATTGAATCACATGTGATTTTATATGTGATGTTAGTGTAAAATAACATGTGATTCACTCATTTTCGTGTCCTTTTAATACGTATCGTTCTTATTTGATCCGCCATCCATATATATATATATATATGTATAAGTGAAAGATCGTATGAGAAGTAGAATTAGACCTTGTTTGTTTTTATAACAAAAAAACTCTTATTAATCTCTTATGTCTAATTTATTAAGCTATTCATATTGTTTTTTTTCCTTTCAAAAATTATTCTCTTTTATTGTCCACTATTCTAAGAAGGTGTTTGAGATTGCTTATCTGAAACAACTTATGCTTTTCTACAAAGCACTTATCAAATTATTATAAGTCAAAATAGTTTAACTTTTTAAAAAAATCCTTATCACCGGTTTGGCGTCGATATATGTTGTTTATCCAAAAACTCAAAAATATTTATTATCAATAACACACCGAAATAAGTCAATAATTTATTTTTATAACCAATGCCAAAAATACCAAGACCTCTCGTTTGACTAACCAAATGGCCCTGACGGTTTTCTGTAATGCGGCAATGAGAGGCCCATTTGATAATAATCGTAATCGGGTTGGGGATGGGGCGGTGGAATGTCAACCCAATACAATACATGGAGCTGGAGTTGCGTTGCCTCCACATTTGATTTTATTGTCTAGTCGTTTGTTTTCTCTGTTGCCAGCGCTTTGCTGGTTGCTCCTTTCCTTCCCTTTCCTTGAACTAGGGCTGAATACTTCTAGGTTACCACTTGAAAAATGTCCAAGAAAGTTGTTACGAGAATAGAGCTCTTGGACCGATGGAGGGCCATTGAAGAAGAAGACGACGATGAGAACGAAATCGATCACTCCAAACAACGTCACCTCCGTCATCTTAAAGAAATATGGTGCTTTCTTCTGAAAAAATAAACTATTTCAAATTTTTTAATTATATTTTGAGTTTAGAAGTCGGATATAAGTCTCCAATCTATCAAATTCGATGCTTATTCTGTTTTTGTGTCATTGATCACTTTGTAGTAGGCAGGCCGATTGACATTCCGAACTGCTTGTTAGGCTGGTTAGTTGTGGATCATCAATATGGATATGGCCATCTCAAGTAATATAAAGATTAATGATAAATAAAGGGGTTTGAGGGATTTTGACATCTATCAACTGTTGTACCACTATAGCAATAACAGTAACCTACTCCTCTGTACATCTCCATCATAATGAAAGAAAATATAACTGTACAAGTGTAGCATGAAATTGTTTATACGCTTGAATCTTACATTTAACTATTTAAGATACGTTGGATAACATCTGTCTGCAACACGTACTCCCACCTTGCTATCCCACATTTTGTGTGCTGCTGCTTAATTGCTTTAATTCATCCTCTGAACGTTATTTACGTACTTTCCTTGTACTAATTTTCTTATCAAGGATGAAATTGGTTTTTCTTGGTTTATATTCAGGTTCACAGATGCATTCAACTTCCTGATATATCTTTCTAGAGAAGATCATATATGGTGTGGCTCCTGGGATATAATGGGGCCGCTTCTAGAAACATTCTACAATTACTCTAAGGATGATCGTCAGGATTCTCCTCTCAAGCTTCTGTGGAAAAGAATTTCTGAAGAATTACAAGGTTGCATGCAATGCATTTGTCAACATCATCAAGCCAAGGACACATATGCCATGGAATATGAGTTGAGTTCAATTGGGCCCCTTCTTGATGTTTTATGCAGGCTAGATGAAGAGAGGGTGACTAATCAATTGAAGGAGATGAACACAAGGATAGCAGGGGGGAAGTATGATCCGTTGAAAGACAATGCAAAAGTTATCAGCGTCATGTATGAGGTATTTTTTTTTTCATTTTCACCTCCCAACTTTTCAAGTTTATGTGTATTATGGAAATAAAATGATATTTAATCTTTTCATAGATAGTGGTGGTGTCATTTGCAGTTTGGAATCTGCTGGTGATAGGTGTTATATATTAAAAGATTATGTCACAAATGCTGAGTGGATCCAATATCCTGCCTCTTTCTGTTGTTCGGATAATGGAAGAAATAAGTTGTTGGTAACTGATAATAAAAAAGTGTTGTTTGAAGTAGACTTATAACTAGATAGTCTATTAGCTTTAGAAATGAGACAACTGCTAAGTAACTATATGCATTGCCTAGCATATCAATTTGGCTAAATGAACTGATCTTAACTTCTCCTTGAACACTTGTTTAGCCCAACATGAGTTTGCTTCCTACAATTGAGAAAATTCGATGTTTGCTTCCTACAATTGAGAAAATTCGATGGAGTTTGTCATGCCATCTGTTCCCCATGTACATGGGGGTAATGTTTTGAATTTTCTTGCAATCTAAAGCAAAAAGATTATGCTATTTGCTCATCTGACCGAGCTATGAAGTTAAGGGTCTCTATGCTGTCAAGTGTTTGTCTTGACTTGATCACATTTCACAAATTTTGAATCTATCTCTAATTTTGAACAAAGGAAGTATCATATGATTTACTCTAAATATTTTTTAAATTGTTAGACAGAATTGTTGACACCCATTTGCATTCAATACAAGGTATCGTGTTATTTGTTTATCTTTTTAAGATATGGAGGTGATGGTTACTTTTACTTTGAGTCAATGGAAATTTTTTGCTTGTCGAAGCAAGTTACTGTGCTCCAAGTTTCATACTGTATAAGATTTTGGAGTGATAGTTTGTTTGACGAGAAATGTTAGCATTGACATGATCAATTTCTTGTGTTTTGGTGTTTGAAGTTGATCCTTGATGATTTAGGTCCTAGAAACGTCTTATTTTTGGTTAATTAACAAACCGAGCTAGTTCTAATCAGCAAGCCTGTTGATCATAGTAATGTTCTGTCTTAATACAGTCTATACAGCTGCAGCCAGTAAAACCAGTTTTATGTACTGAAGTGCTTTTGAGCTTCTGTAGGACTAATTTGGCTTTGCACTTTTTCATCATGAAAGGTGCATTGTTGCACGTTGCGAGTTGTAATACGGGGATTCCCTCATCTGAAAATAATTTTTTGTTGGCTATTATAGTTCATGTAGTAACTTCATTTTGCATTTTAGATTGTAAACCGGCAAATGTTTGTTTTTGCTTAGCCCTCTAATCTTTGGCCAGTAAAGGCACTCAGTGAAATATTGTCGATGCAGCATTATAGTTCATTTTTATTTTCTAATGTACATATGTGGCTCAGTCCCATACATTGGGTAGTCCTTTAATGATGCTGTGTACCTGCTTCGGTGTAGCTAGCCAAGAGAAGATACAGGATCTTCTTGTTCTACAGTCTGCTTGGGATCTTCATGGTTGAGTCTTAGCATATAGTTAATTGTGTCAGTGATGCATCTCACAAGTATTTGAAGTTGAATCAAACTGAAATCAGGGGAAGCATGCCTGGATTTGGCCGTCTTTTGCAACCAAGCAGGCTTAGGATCTTGAACCCTCAAGTTCATAGCCTTACAAGGAAAATAGTTGAGGTTTTCAGATTCAAGATTTATTAGGACTATAATCAACGTTCTTGAATAATCAAGTACTGGAAGTTGTTTATAACTTCATAAAAATTACATAACTAATTTATGCATCATCAACTAGCTATTCTGCTTGTTATTCTTGTGTCAGATATCTTGGATGATAGTTTTCATTTTACTCATATTTTTTTTACAGGTGTTGATGTTTCCCGTCTTATTGGATGACCAATCCTTGGTCACCGAGTTTCAGATATTCATCGAAGCAGTTGATGATTCTCATGAACTCACTTTGGCTGGCCATCAACAATACCCGGTACAGTTTCAACAATTTGCTATTTCTTATCCCCTTATAGTCATAACAACCCCTCATCATGTTCAGTGCCTTACTTGGTTTATGTAGGGAGTTTATGCGCTACTTTTCCTCAAGACCAGAAGGTGTCGTTCTATAGGCTTCCGCTTGGCTGGATACATGGGAAAATTGAGGTATTGTTTCCTGCTGCTTCTTGTTAGAAGGTCCAACTGAGCTTCCTGACGTTGCTCATAGAAATGGATGATAATCTGGTAAATAGTAGGCTGCTTTTCACCTGTGCCATTTGAGATGCTTGATGTTGGTTGCAGACTTGGATGATTTTCTGGTGACTGATAGATTATTGACCATGTGTGACTAGCTAGATTTATCTGCAGTCTTCTTGGGAATAGTTCTTTGGCCGACACTGTAGAGCTCCAGAGTCTGTTTGTTTAGGTCCTTTAGGATATCACCAGGGGATCAGGCATGTAGACATGTAGTGTGAGCATCCGTCCAGATATGCACTTTTACTCCAAGGCTAAATGAGTGTTCATCACCTCGTTCGATGTACCATTTTTCTTGTTAGGGGAAGCATAAAAATAGTAGAACCAATCAGTTTTTTGTTTGTGATCCTTTGCAAGCTTGATAATGCTTTCTATTTGTATGTCAGAGAGATAATGAATTAACTTACAACTGTTTTCGTTATACAAACCATTCAACTTTAAGTTAATGCCTTCCTTTCATGGTAGTTTGATGTTCTCGTCAATTTTGTTTATTTTACATATATACCTTTCTTATGATCGGGGAAGTGTCAGTGCAGGAACATTGCTTATTGCTGTTTATGCTTAAGCTGATATCCATTTTCTGCAGGGTATTTCTGTTTCATAGCTTAGTTTCACAGGATTACCTCACAAAGTTTGTTTAAATTTTGCTATATTCCCCAGGAATGCAGCAGAATTGGATCCTTTGCAGCCTTTGCTCAAGAAATGTATTGTATTTCTAGAGACAGAAGTTGTGTCTCTAAATGAGAGCTTAAGGCCAAGGATGCAGCTGGATCGAATAACTGTATGGCTTGGAATCAAGGCACTGTAGGGAGCAGTGGTTTTTACTAACTTTTGAAGCTGTCCCCTTCTCCTTTCATTATATAATATTCTTGATGTGATGAGAGTATTATAATTATGTCTCAACTTCTTATGATGCTCTTGTATTCTCTTTTATGAAGGCTTGGGTTTCTAGAGCCTCATGCATTTGAAGAAGGGATTTTGGAGCGTTATCCCAGTTTTCTGAGTATCGTGCTCAACCATATTTGTGATGATTCCATCGAATTTTCTTATGCAATCAATTGCCTTAGACTACTTTTCGATATGCTTGGTATGTCTTCCTTGGGTTTTATACCTATAATTTAGATTAGTTGATTGTATGTTCATTTACTAGTTAAATGTCTACTAAAATAGTTTGTTAATTTTCAAGGATGCAAGCTCTGGTTGAGGGCAACACTATCACCAAGTGTAATGCGTGACACACTATTGGGTCAGTGCTTCCATACTCAAGATGAGAAGAGCCACAAGGAAATATTTGATCTTTTCCCACCTTTTCTCCAGGCATGCTTGTGTGCTATACTTCCATTTTGTTCGTGTCTTAATTTCAAACCCACCATGCTTTTCTGTTTTTGTACATCAGTTTACATGGAAAGTTATATGGCAAAAGATATTCTATGGTCTTAATAATGTCTATGTAGCCTATTTCTGCAGTCTCTTGAGGCTTTGCAAGATGGGGAACACAAAAAGCAACGCAGACATTTTCTCTACTTTCTTCTACATCAAGTGACTGTTAGTAGCAACTTCAGCTCTCTAATGAGAAAAAAGGCCTGCCAGGTGTCTGTTTTCTCTCTAGATTGACATGAACTACGTATCATTCTTTTGAACAGTCTATAATTGATATTTGTGATATTTGCTCTATCTTTTTAGTAATTGATGGAAAATTGTGTTCACAGATAGCTATTCTCATTATTCACCGAGGTTACAAGATGAATCCTTCCTGTCCACCTTTTGAATGTGCACACATGTGGTATGCAAATCTTTGTATTATTTCTGCCCAAAAAAAAACTTTTTGAGGAGAATCATCATTGAAATGGCCAGGATGCCTGGTTTTTGTTGCGAGCTCATCTGTTACGTTGCGAGCCTGTTGTAGCTATTAATCATGAAAATGTCAAGTCATCATGATGTGTTTCATGTAAAAGCGAAGATCATTTGAATAAGCAAATTCTATATTTGGTTAGCTTGTATTGCACTGTGAGCAACTTGGTTCTAATTGCCACGGTGGGATGTTGCTTCTCTTTCTCGGTTTTTTATTTTAATGGAATTAAATGAAGATATATTTTCTTTTCAGTATGTGCCTGCAACCTCAAGATATTGCTAAACGGCACAAAAGATCCTTTTTTTTATTCGTCTTGTTTTCTTCCAAGTAAATTATGATGCATTGTGCGGCACTTATAGTCTCAGACATTGCTGAAATCTGTGCATAAAGAGACAATTATCGTTAACTGCTAATGCATATTTGATGTAATTGGATGAACATAGTTTTCGTGGACATGACATCTCATGTTTATGGCACAGGGGCCCTTCTCTTGTGGCATCTCTTAAGGACTCCGCACTCTACAGTTCTCTTAGACAACCTGCTTTTGATTTGATCCAAACTGTTATAGTCTCTGATGCATCTGCATTAGTGTCGTCAGTTCTACACTGTCAAAAACAGAAAGGTGCTGATAGGAATATCATTGACTTCAAAGATGAAGATGACAATGAAGACCTATTTACAGATGATACAGAAGAAAAAGACGCCAGCTGTTGGAATGAATTTAGTGTGCAGAGTCAAACTACTTCATTAGAATTCGGGGTGTGGATGTGCATTCCGATGCTATGGTTTGATGTTTTAGTTGAAATTGATCCTGCGATTCTACCGGTGTCATTTTCTAAGGCAGTTATATGGGCTTTATCTCGTTTTTCTATGGTTGAACCAGAAACTAGCACTGAAATGGCTCTTCCAGTTGGACGTTGGTTGACCACACGTGTGCCAGAGGTATCACATCTATTTGGGTGGAGGACACCATCTGGTTCTGATGATGGTGGGGATGGAGAAGAGTCAAAGAACTCGGTAAAGGTCAAAGCAATGTGCATCCCATTAATCAGAACTTTCAGGAGGTTAGTTTTTCAGTGCTGCATCCCCCCCTGCATCTATGTTTAAATACTGTATGATGAAAGGATGAATGCATAGTGGACATGAGAAACATCACAATGTTGATATTAATCATTTTATTGCAGGTTAACATCTTATTTTATTACAAGAATGGAGCAAGGTGAGCTTTGGAAGCAATGGACTTGGGAACCAAGGATGGGTGAAAGCTTAATCCTTTTGCTTGTTGATCCTGATGATGTAAATACATCCTTTCAAAGTCATTAATTATGTAATTCCAATAGTGTAATTGATGACTTCAAATGTTACTAGGTCTTGTATATCTGGCTCTTGAATCTTAAATAATGTATTCAGTTCATGCATTATATTGGTGATAGGTGCCCTACATCAAATAGTACCAATGATGTTGCACCAAGAACCCCAAATGTGCCACGTTCTAGGACACCGATGCTAGATGAAACTCGAGAAACATTCCCAGAGGCCTTTTAAAACTTCTCCAAGCTTACAGGGTTTGCGGTTGAGAGAGGGAAGGCTGGTGGTTTGGGCATGTTGGCAGAAGACACTTACGATGCCGGTTAGGAGGGTGGAGAGCTTCACGGTCGAGAGGGTGAGGAGGAGAGGCAGGTCGAGGAGGACATGGGATGAGCAACTGAGGCTGGACATGTCAGTACTGTCCGAGGATATGATCTCATATAGGATTCTTGGAGGTGGTAGATTAGGGTAGTTGGTAGAGGAGGGTGAAGGGCGGGATGAGGCAGGGTGGAGAGTCGACAGATAAGCCTGTAGTGCTGCCGGAAATAGATAGACGGGGATTCTTTGGAGTATCCTGTGCACTTTTTAGTAGGTCTTGCTGGCTTAGAAGTTTCTTTCTATCATCTTGTTCAACCAGTCTTTGCGCTTTTATGTTTTTTGTCCTCAATTGTTTCAGGCTCTTTGCATTCTTTAATAAATATTTTTTTTTTGCCAAATTGTGGTTTCTGGCTATGCTTTCCAAATCTTTTTTGCAAGCTGAGGGTCTTCTCAGAAACCTCTCTACCTCTTAAGGTAGAGGAAAGGTCTGCCTACATCATACTCTGCTGACCCGAGTCACCCGACCTCTGAGTGGGATATAATGAATTTGTTTGATTTGGTTTTTAAGTTTCTGAATTGCTCTCGCTCCTTCTATCTACTTCGTTATTAATTTGTATCAACTTTTTGTTCATTCTTTCTTGCATGTAATGGCGTGTTTATGTGAATTAATTATGAGAAATTTTCTTGGTTGCAGAATGCAAGGCAAGTTGGCAGGCGTATTCTTGAACAAGTAGCAAACACACGTGGCCTTCTTTCTTGTTTGCAGTTTCTGTGCTCATGCTCGGCTTCAATATCAGCAGCGCTTCTAGGGCTGAGACATGCTGGGGAATTGGTATTTTTCCTTCTACTTATCTCTCTAAACCTATTTAATTGTCAACGGTCAGGGCATTTGTTTTACCTTAATGTGACACGCGTGTAGCATGCTAATTTAATTTAGAATATTATTTTGATTGAACAAGAATTTAGTTATTTCTGATGGCAACCCTTCCTACCTTTAGATAGCCTTGGCTGTGATTAGTATTGCTATTCAAATGCTCTTGCTAAATATTCTCAAGGTCTTATTGCTTCATCCTGATGTTCAACCAACATTATATGATCATATTTAACAGTAACAAGATGCTTCTTAGCTTCTGATGGCTGGTATCAGGATACTCAATTATGTTCCCATAGCTACAAAGGTGGTGGAATGTCATATTGTCACTGGCGGAAGTGTTGCATGAATAAATTATGATTTGAATTGATTGATTAGGTCAATATCATAAAACATTTAGTACTAGGATCATGGAAGGCTAAATGATTTATCCAATATATTCAAATCTGGAATCTAGTCTTATTTTGGTGTCCTTTTCAGCTTGTGTTGGATTTGGTGCTGCAAAGATTTCAGAACTTGCACCATTACTTTTTTGTACTATGCAAACTACTTACGGAAGGGGTAAAATCTGGCCAAAGTGATGACCATGGTAATTTAAAGTTCTCATCTCAAGGTGGATTTCTACAGCAGCCCGTATTTGATTCCATGGCTATTAACATTGATGGAAACTCATCAAAGTTTGATTCCGTACATTGGAAACAGTTTAGTTGCCTATTATCAGAAGTTGCATGGCCATCTTATTGCAAATGCTTGTCTGAAGGGAAGGCATTCGTTGACTACAAGATCTCACAGGTATGGTCAAGTTATCTTTCTGAATGCATCAAACTTTTTATTTGTTAAACTTATACATATATTTGTACATACAGATGTGTATGTGTGTGGAAATGGTCCAGAACCAGCACTTTCTGGATATATAACAATTGCAACTTATTTAATGTCATTCATTTTGCTTATGTAAGGATTGAGATTCAATATCGTTCTTACTGTTCACGGTTGGATAGCCTATCAGCTATATTACTGATATATGAGGGAATCTCATCTGTTATGGCCTTTCTGTTGGTTGTGAGTGAGTTGGCAGCAATATGATTCACAATGAGCACTTGCTGTGGATGTTATCCTGTATGCTTGATTGGTACACACTCACTCTTCTAAAACTTAAGGTACCTTGGCCTGGGTTGATACCATTGAGCCAAAAGCGTTTTGGTATTAAGCTTGTATATACGTGTGACCTTTTTAACGTGCAACTGCTGGAGCTAGCCTAATTCAGAATGAAAGTGCTGCGGTAAATAATTGTTTGGGTAGCCGGTATGTATCTGGTTTTTGGGTCAAACTTGTAATCTGTATGTACCTAGTTCAAGAATCTTAAAAGAAGGGAATTTCTTTTCATCTGCATTGTAAATCCTCTATGTGCTGGTTACTTGTTTGCTGGTCATATTCTTTGATGCCATTGATGAAGTCTTCGGATCAAATATGGAATATATGTGATCATTTGATCTGTCACGGGGTCTGTAATTCACGAACAGTCAGAAGTGATTTTATATGAGAAAATGGACAGAGTTACTAGTAGGCAAACAGATCTGGAGGAATATAAATGTATGTAGAAGGTGATTATCAATACGATTTATCTCAGATTACATGGTCTAGATTATGCACATACACACAATCCTGGTTCTAATTTAAGTCATTTTCTTCTTCTTTTAAATCAATTAGGAGACTATGAAAACATGAAATAAAGTTACAACTTCTAGTAGGCTTATAGAAATATTTGTGAACAAGTTTTTGTTTTTTAGGAAATATAATGTTGGCCAAAACAGTATTTTCCATGCCTTTTTTTTAATGTAAATGCAAGAACAGAATACCATAGTGTTGACAATCAAGGACTATGTGTTAGAAAATAGAAATAGCAAAAAGTTGTTATGTCTAGCAGGTCATGGTCAACGTCACTGTGCCCTGCATTTCTAAGCATGTGATTAGCTTCTAGTTTGAATTTCTTGTAATCTCAGACTGAATTCCTTTTTTCTTTGGTATCCAAACAGTTCTTGTTTTGCCTACCTTTTGGCCTTGTCTCTAGCAAAAAGCAGAAGAAACTTGTGTACGTAATTTGCTTCACGTGCATATTTGACCTGTAGTGGAGGAATCCCATGGTTGATCTTGTTGATTATTTTCACGTGCAAATTTGACCTGTAGTGGAGGAATCCCATGGTTGATCTTGTTGATTATTTTCTTGCCTCTATGTAGTGCGATGTTTGATAATTTGCTCAATTAGCAATCACAAATTTGTAGTATGACAGACGGGGTTAAGGATTCTTTATTCATTGTTTCAGATGACCTGTATCCGGTTACTTGAGAGCTTACCTGTTGTTCTCCAAAGGATCCAGCAATCTATGCACATAATACCGGGAGATTCAGATACTTCGATAGTGAATTCATTTGGCTATAAATGGCTTCATGATTTGATGTACTGGGGGAAGTCTACACTTGCTGTTGTAGTTCGGTATTGGAAGCAAACAGTGCTTTCTTTGGTTGATCTACTTAAGGAGTCGTGTAATGATAAAACATCTGCTATCATGGCCATTGAGAAACTTATTCAATATGGTGTGTTTCTATTTATGCATTCTCCTCTGGCTTCCATGTTTTGCTATTGATTTTTATATTAGCAAATTTAAGTTCGTTTTTTGATTTTGTTGCAGAAAACATTCCGATTGATGAACTTACTGAGCAGGTATCATGCCTTTCTGTTTCATTAAAGAGCAATGCCAATGGACCTTCTAATGCGTATGAAAAAATGAACTTTAAAGCCACATTGTTGCAATCTGAGGGCTTATTGGACAAAAGGAAGTATTCCACTGAAAAACTAGAAGCTTTTCCCTTGGAGGATTTAAATTTGCAGATTTCAGATTCTGCTTTTGGTGCCAAAACGGAGAGAGAGAGTGTGATAATTCTTTCAGATGATGAGATCGATGTAAAAGATTACATTGACACTGTGAATGTTCCTGATGGTGGATCAAGTAAATCATTAGTAGATGGTGAAGCTATGGGTTCACGAACTACTGAAAAAGCTTCACAAATTAATGCAGCTAGGAACAGTTCTTCTGTTGCAGCTTCAACAACACAGATCAAGGATTTGGTTCTGTCAGATGATTATGGCGCCATAGGATTGAGGGAACGGAAGCTGGAAGCAGAGAATAATGTGGACAGAATAAGACCATCTTCTGTGGTCCAAGGGGAATCTGTTCAAGGCAGAAGTAAAGAAAAATCATCTGACATTCAGAAGAAATCTTGTTTGACGAAATCTTCCCTAGAAAATCTTAGTTTCAAAATGGACAATTCAGTTTCGATCCAGCGTGCATCTGGTTTGAAGAATGTGTCTAATGAAATTAGGTCTTCGAGAAGTATGGATAACCAAGGCATAAAAAAGGTTTCAGCAAAGACCGATAGGGTCATCAAGGAGTTGGTATTTGATGCCAAAGATGATCCATGGGAATTTGCATTAAAATCTGCAAGGCATCATCAATCACACCTGGCAAAACTGAACACTGGTGGTACAAAACGCCAAGTCATTCAACTGAACTTAGCAGTTGAAAACAGAGTTTCCCAATCAAACAGGCTGCGAGGTGGACATCAGAGGTTCAAACCTCTAAGGCTAGATGATTGGTTTAGACCTATCCTGGAGATGGATTATTTTGCTACAGTAGGGTTATTATCCTCAGCTGCAGAGAAGAATCAAACTGCTGGGACGTTGAAGGAGATTCCTGTTTATTTTCAATCTCCTGATGACTATGTGGCAGTCTTCCGCCCATTGGTGCTAGAAGAGTTAAAAGCGCAGCTACATAATTCATTTGCAGAGATGTCTTCTTCAGATGAGATGTCCTGTGGAAGTCTGTCTGTGATGTCTGTAGAAAGAGTTGACGACTTTCACGTTGTTCGCTGTGTTCACGATGACAGAGACTTGGAAGGCTCCAAGAGCTGTGTAGAAAATGATCTCATATTGCTTACAAGACAGCCTTTTCAAAATTCTTCCCATGATGTTCACATGGTTGGAAAGGTACATGTACATTTCATCTTAACATTTGAGTTACTTCATTCCCATGTTTAAGTTAAAAAAATTGTCATGCTAGAGTCGACATAAATAGAACCTCTTTCAGCTTGCTGCAGAGATACTGCTTTCTGAGTAGATTCTCTAAGATGTTTGAGAAACCCCCCCACATAGTTTGGTGATAGTGTGTCTGAAACCAGTAACAAAACCAAAAGGTTGTTAGCCAGAAAATTGAGCATATGCTTTTTAATTTTATAAAATAACTAAACAAGTATTGGTAGAGGAACATTTATGAGATCAAAACCTTTATTTCTTGATTTGCAAGTATTTAAATAAATTACATTTTCTAAACACATTAGAAATTACACAGCCTGAAGTCATCTAGTATAACAATTATTTGTTTTAAAAGATAAAGTTTACTATCATTTTAACTCAATTATTTATTTTGATTTGAGTGCAATCTCAATGACCATTTGTAATGGAAAACAAGATTTCTTTAGTACTTCCTCATCAAGGATCACAAACTGGGGATGCAAAGAGTCTTGTGTTGATTTAGACTTTTGTTGAATTACTGGTAGTTCAGAATTGCAATATATGTCAGGATATGACATGAATTTTTTGGTCAAACATTCCTCCAAGCAGCAGGTTTACCTTCGGCTGTGCTTTATCTTGACATTTAAGCTTTCAAGTTTTTGCAAGCTTATGTGGTACTTGAAGGTGCTTAAAGTAGAGTTTAGTGGACTCCCCCCCAAAAAAAATGCTTAAAAGTTCAGGAAGTTTCATTTCCCATTTTTGGAAACTAGGTTTTGAAATAAGCAAATCCCTTCAGCACCCACATTTATTTCACTAAGAGTATCAGAGAACTGACAAATGAGAAAATGAATGCATGCAAATATTTACTACAAACCTAAGCTCACCATGTGCAAAGATGAACTCTTTTACACTCTTAATAGCATAAGAACTATAATCTAAGGTTATCTACATTCACAATATAGTCACATTGTGCAGTGTGTCTTCCCCGGGATATTACGGTGTATTGTGTAACGAACTCCACTAAAAGAAACTAACAGCTACAACCTCAATTTGTTACGTGATGATGCAAATATTAACAATCTTGTCACACTGAACACATGAAGATAATGTACTCTGCAGAATCAATTTCTAGAAACACATACTGATGATTAGTTCTGAATGCTTCGTTATCAAGTTATGAAAATTACTAATGATCAACATGCATTTCTAGAAATTGATTCTGCAGAATACATTATCTTCATGTGTTCAGTGTGACAAGATTGCTGATATCTACATCATCAGTAACAAATTGAGGCTGTAGCTGTTAGTTTCTTTTGGTGGAGTTCATTATATAATGCACCGTAATTATCCAAGGGAGGACACACTGTATAATATTAATTATATCTTTGAACATAGATAACCTTAGGTTAGAGTTCTTATGCTATTAAGAGTGTAAAAGAGTTCGTCTTTGCACATGGTGAGCTTGGTTTGCTTTCAATATTTACATGTATTCATTTTCTCATTTGTCAGTTCTCTCATACTCTTACTAAATCAATGTGGGTGGTGAAGGGATTTGCTTACTTCAAAGCCTAGTTTCCAAAAATGGGAAACAGAACTTCCTAAGATCTCTATATGTGAGTTCTTTTTGAAGTATATAATATTTATATACGGCAAATGCAACAAATAAACTCACACACCCTTCTCACCGTTGGTGAGGTTTGAACCCTTGACCTCGTAGGAGGCCAAGGACTACGATACCGCTAGGCCAAAGGTCCTTTGATATCTCTATATGTGAGTTGGTGAACAAAGCAATCAAGTTGATTGGTCCTTTGATAATTGATTTTTAATTAGTTGGATTCTCCGATTAGAACTTACCTCCCATGATTTTTACATGGCACCACAAAGGGAAATTTTACCGTTCATATGGCCACTCTTCTATCCATGAGCATTATAGCTGAAAAATCTAGTTCATTTTTCTTTTCTAATTTGATTGTAAAAAGACTAATATGTATCACGTGGATTTTTACTCGAATAAAGCTAGGGTTGGTCCCTCTTTCCTGTTATGTGCTTTTATTTTGCTCTTTGCTATAGCTGATGATGTAGAGCAGATTTGATCTGATCTGTCTCTTTGTCCCTGAACCACCAGTCATAAATAAAAAAATCTACATATAGGTACCACACCATTAGTCAATCTTACAGTTACTAGATCAAAAGCTAGCGGCGGTATATGCTGATTGTTGATAGGCTCATTGATGAACTTGTCGTTCACTATAATGTTCTTTCCTTAAACATTATAGCCTGTGGTTTTCTTTTGATGCAAAGCTGGATTGGTCCAGGTAGAAAGATGCGAGAAAGATTATAAAAGAAGATCAAGCATAATAATGATCAAGTTCTATCTTCAGAATGGATGTTCTCGTCTAAATCGGGCCAAAAAACTCTTAATGGAACGAAGCAAGTGGTACATTCATCGCATCATGAGTATCACTTCCCAACTAAGAGAATTTCAGGCACTGTCTTCGATACATAGTATTCCTCTGCTTCCCACAATCTTAAATCCTAATGACCAACCTAAGGCTGTCAAATCGAGGATGGATCTCAGTAAACTGTCCCAACCTTTACAGCAGATTCTTGAATCGTCATTTAATGACTGTCAATTGCAAGCTATCAGTACTATCATCAGACCTGTGGACTTGAGAAATGACCATGATCTATCCCTAATTCAGGGTCCTCCAGGTATTCATGCATATGCTTGTCTACAGCTTTCTTTTAAGCTTTTATGAGGCCTGTTCTGTACATGATTTGGAGATCCTTTTAACTGTCTTTCTACTAGGTACTGGGAAGACCAGGACAATTGTGGCCATTGTCAGTGCTTTGCTTTCCTTAAGTGGAAGGAATGCTGGAAGGACTGAAGTTGGTGTTTTGAAACCTAGCAATACTTCTCTCATGAATAAAGTGCGGATAAGTCAGTCTGCTGCAATTGCTCGAGCCTGGCAGGATGCAGCCATGGCTAAACAATTAAAGGATGATGATAGTAAAAGCTCTAGTGTTACTGCTAGTCACATAAGAGGTAGGGTTCTTATTTGTGCACAATCAAATGCTGCAGTTGATGAACTGGTGTCCAGAATTTCCAGTCATGGCTTATATGGAAATGATGGATCAATGTACAAGCCATATCTTGTTAGAGTTGGTAATGCAAAGACAGTTCATCCAAGTTCTTTACCTTTTTTCATCGACACCCTTGTTGACCATCGATTGACGGAGGAGAGGATGGATGTTGGTGATGTGAAGAACGACACAGATGGGGATTCTTCAACTGTTCTTCGTTCTAAGTTAGAGAAGTTAGTGGATCGTATCCGGTTTCTTGAAGCCAAACGAGCTAATTTAAGCAATGGAAATCCAGACTCAAAACATTTTCTTGAAGGAGATGCTGCCGTGAGTGATGATGTGAAGGAAATGTCTGATGCAGAAATAGGGGCAAAGCTAAGAACATTATACAGTGACAAGAAAGCCGTCTACATAGATCTTGCCGCTGCTCAGGCACGAGAGAAAAAAGTTCATGAAAAAAGAAAAGCTCTTAAACTCAAATTGCGTAAATCTATACTGAGAGAAGCTGAAATTGTGATAACTACATTGAGTGGGTGTGGTGGAGATCTCTATGCTGTGTGCTCCGAATCTATGTTGACTCATAAGTTCAGTACTTCATCCGAGTCTTCGTTGTTTGATGCTGTTGTAATTGATGAAGCTGCTCAAGTACGATGCATCGATCTTTTCTTTTCTTTAATTTTCTTTGACTTGGTAGTGACTTTCCATGTAGCTCAAGACTCTATGTTTATTTGCTTCTTAGACCTTGTACTTTCTTCTGGGCAGGCTCTGGAACCTGCTACTCTGATTCCTCTTCAGCTCCTAAAATCAAAAGGGAGCAAGAGTATTATGGTAAGGACTAGTGTCATGGGTTTACATTTTTGTTGCTAAGTTGAATGGATAAAACTTATTTGTTATGCGTATCATTGAAGGTTGGAGATCCGAAGCAGCTTCCTGCAACTGTTCTCTCAGATGTTGCAAGTAAATATCTCTATCAATGCAGCATGTTTGAACGTTTGCAGAAGGCTGGTCACCCTGTTACTATGCTTACGAAGCAGGTAGACTGTATTTGTCTTATATGTATGTATATTTTACTTCCTTTTTGGTACCATTCCTCTTTAATGCGATAAAAGCACTAAACGAATTAGGAAGTTGTTTCAGATTAAAACACGAGGATGTTCATGCCTTCCTCGGCATACTTACATATACCTGCATGCATATGTGTGTGTGTGTGTGTATATATATAAAATATTCATGGCCATATCGATTTCAAGGGTGGTTGCATGTTTTTTGTTCGGTTTATTAATAAAGGTAACATAGCATGTTGTATAAAGAAGATTTGTAGTTTGGATATGATTGTTTACCTCTAAAGCATGAATCCTGCCCTATTTGATAAAATAGAAAAAAACCAGTGAAAGGTATATGTATCGAAAATGAAGTCGTGCTGAGTTTATTTATGTTGAATACAATATCCTCCAAGGTTGAAGTGGTATGATTTACTGTCAAGCATATTTTGCAGAACAAAGGGTCTTATTAGTCATGGCAATCCTACCACCACAAAATTATTTATGCGCTCTGCAGTCTTCACAAGAATAAAACAGAACTTCCACAATATTGTTATGGCCAGTCTCTTCCTTTTAAGCTATCTCGTTTGACTACCTGTTTCAGAATTCACTAATTATTACTTTACATGTTTCAGTATAGGATGCACCCAGAGATATGCCGGTTTCCTTCCTTGCATTTCTATGATKGAAAGTTACTAAATGGTGATGGAATGTCTAGCAAAGAAACACCATTTCACAAGACTGAAGGCCTTGGGCCCTATTTATTCTTTGATATTGTGGATGGGCAGGAGCTTCATGGTAAGAACTCTGGGTCTCTCTACAATGAGTGTGAGGCTGATGCTGCAGTCGAACTTCTGAGGTTTTTCAGGAAGAGGTATAATTCTCTTGTTTGATACCATAGTTTTTTCAATACTAGTTTTAGAAATGTTGTTGGTTTTTGACAGTTATCCATTAGAGTTTGTTGGAGGAAGGATTGGCATTATAACTCCTTATAGGTCTCAACTTTCCCTGTTGCGTTCACGTTTTTCGTCTGCCTTTGGGTCTTGTATAATGGATGAAATGGAACTTAATACCGTTGATGGTTTTCAAGGACGGGAGGTTGATGTGCTTGTAGTTTCGACAGTTAGGGCATCAGGACCAACTTCTGGAGCAATGGAAATGAACTCCAGAAGCATTGGGTTTGTTGCTGATGTAAGACGAATGAATGTGGCATTAACGAGGGCCAAGCACTCCTTGTGGATTTTGGGAAACATGAGAACCTTGCAGACAAATAAGAATTGGGGAGCACTTGTAAATGATGCTAAGGAGAGAAATTTGGTTTTATCAGTTAAAAAGCCATATGTTTCAATGTTTAACTTGCTATTTAAGAATAACCGGGTTTCTGATAGCTCAAATGATATTTCAAAACAGCTTAAGCCTAAGAAAAAAGGGAACGAGGTTAACAGACATCCTGAAGAGAGGAAAAAGTTTAATATTTCTTCCGAGAGGAAAAGAGGGTACACTGGAGATCATAGTAATGATAGTTTGGGTGTGGATAAGCATGCTTTATCACCCATCAGGGATAATGATAAAACAAAGAAAAGAGCAAAAAAGCATTATGATTCATCAGCAAAGAAGAGTACTGAATGTGTATATACTGAAAGTAGTGTAAACAAAACACTCAAGGATGTCAAGTTGGCCACTGATGAACATAGAGAGACGCATGCTGGAAGTTGGGGTAAGAAAGGTGTTGAAAGACAAAGGTTTGATAGAAATGTTGCTGGGGATAAGCCTTTGAATGAAACTATTCAACGAGAAGAAGGGAGTAGATCATCTGGTCAAGTAGAAAAACCCATGGATTCTATTTGTAAAAGGAAACAACAAAGGGAAGCTGTAGATGCTCTTCTTCCTTCAGCTTTTATATCCTCAAAGAAGCCTGAATCTAAGTTGAAATCAGTCCCAGATAGAAGGTCTCGTCCACCAGTACGTCCTTCAGATCATGCAATTAAACCAGCCAAGACAAGAAAAGGTGTAGTTTTCTTCTCTATACTGATATTGGTTATTCCTATTACTACACCCCTGTTGTGTTTTTACAAAATATGCATATTTGTTTTTACATTGCCTGAGGGACTTAGGGGGCTGTTTGTTTACCTGTTAATAGTTCCATCTAGAGGCAGCCTCTGAATCGTCAAGAGGGGAATCTTGTTTGGCAAAAGAAGTCTGCCTGTTAATGGTTCTAAACCCTCTGAATGATTTTGTATCTTGGGGCTCCCTAAACCATTAAGCTCCCTAATTTCATTCTGAACAATTACCAAACAACTATATTTCATTTTGCACTATATCAATAGAGCCTCTTAATCATTCTGGCCACTTAATCATCCTGCACCGAACCATTCAGCAACTGCTTAAATGATGTCCAGAGTTAGTTTTGCATTTTTATCGTTTCCATTTGAGGTTGTTATTGAGATGTTAGGATATGTAAGAGTAACATTTGTGCATGGTAATGAAAGTGATTGTGGTTGTGATGATGCTTTACATGAAACTAGTTTTTAGCAATGAAGTTGTAACTATACGCAACTTTCTAATCTTGCTGACTGTTACTATTACTATTATTATATCTGGTTGTAACTGATGCGGTTCGTGTTCAGGTTAAAAAAGCGGCATTGGAAAGAGAAGTTAGTTGCTCAGCCAATTCATTAAGATGGTGTGGATACTAAAGCTGGTTTTGGGGGGGTGTTTGGCTTTATTCCCATCATCATACACTTTTTAACTGAATGGGATGACAGTTAACCTGTAAGTAGCAGTTAATTAGCAAATCTCTTCATGTTCTTTTTCCACATCTTATCAAAGTATTTCTTTCATTTCATTGCAGCATGTTTTCATACAAGTATTATTATTATTACCATAATATATAGTCTATAGATGTATTAATATTTTGTTAGGCTGAATCCAAGTAAAAAGAGTTGAATTTTATATAATATATATACAACTTTATGCAAGTCAAAAGAGCAGAATGTAAGAAACCAAAGGCACTAATATAATACGAGAATGGTACCTGTTTAAGAATGGTCGAATCACATGTGATTTTACACTAATATCACGTACAAAATCACATGTGGTGCGACCTTGTCTAGCGGCCATAGGGTCACCCACACTTTTTTGGCCGTTAATGTAAAATCACATGTGATTTTTGTATATAATTTGGCTATTCTCTTACTTTTGTAAATATGTATCATTCTCGTATGAACCTACCTCTCTCTCTCTCTATACATATACATATATAGGTTAGATTCAGGGGGAAACCGCAAAAAATGAAAAACTGAGGAACATCTTGTTAACATTCATCTTGACGTTGTACATATGTGCATAATATGCACACGTGCTTAAAAACCAAGAAACACCTTCAATTACTCGTATGCACGTGTGCATACTGTCCACATGAATGGTTACCAGATTGTACTTCAGGTTTTCAGTTTTTTGGGGGGGTTTTCCTTGAACCTCTCTATACATGGTAGTTTCAGGGGATAATCTTCAAAAAATGAAAAACGAAGGAACATCTTGGTAATCGTTCATCTGGACGGTATGTACATATGCATACAAGTAATTTATAAACAATTTGTCTGATATGCGCATGTGCATAACATTGCACACGTTTATAAGAGCCAGTAAACAAGTATAGTTACTTATATGCATATGTATATACCATACAGATGAATGGTTACTAGATGTTTATCAATTTTTCATTTTTTTGGGGTTTTTCTCTAAACCTACCTCTATGTGTGTATGTAATTATTTTACTCCCTCCGTCTTAAAATGTTTTCACATTACTATTCTAGTTTGTTTCAGAATAAGTTTAATTTTAAAAAAACAAATACATATTTTCCCACTTTATCTTTAATTATAAGATGCAGGGCTATCCCTAAGGGGAGGGCATATGCCAAGGGCCCACAAGAAATAAGGGTTCAAATGTTAGTTTAGTATCCATCATATAGTATATTATTGTAGTTCATAAAAATTAGTAGATAATGTAGATACAAAGTTTGTTTAGTGTCTAATAGGACAAAAAAGAATTTAGTATTATATTAAGGGTTTAAACTTGTATTAGTTAATTATATTGGAGAAATAATATGTAAAAAGTTAATTGGTCGTTCAATTTATAATATTGTTTATTGTTTCTCCAAGTTTTTTTATTTACTACCAAAATCTAAAACTACTTTGCTTAGAAAAGATTGATATATTCTTCATCATTCATCTCTCGTGCACTTTTTTAATTATTCCATCCGCATAAATTTTATTTTTGTATTAAAATATAGCAGATTTCTTGTTAATTAAATAAACAAGAATAAGATCTCAAACTATATCAACAATGACTTTTTAAGATTGATGGTTTCTAAAATGTTTGTTTTAGCCCTAAAAGTTTAAGATGACGATAAAAATATTAACATGATGTAATATGGAAACCCAATTGATTTATATTAATTTACATAAAGTGTATTTTGAATAGGCAACATTAGAATCCAAAGTGATGTCAGTCTGTATATAAAAGGTATATCATAGGATATGTTTGACGGTGAAACGGGTTTATGATGCTATGTAAAAATGATATGATGCGATAACATTAATTTAAAAATAATTATTGATTGATTTTGCATGTAGAAATACTTAAAAAACTGGTTTTATATGAACTATTAGTATTTCTTGAATTCAATGATATTGATGATGATAAAAACATTACATTAAAAAAGATTGTACTTATCCAGTATCTCGTTTAGGGCGTATAATAAAATGGACCTGATAAGATGAGACTTCCTTTGGCATTGATAAAATTGTTATCTAACTCATTAAAAATGTAATAATTACACATTTTTAAGATTTATGTTGTGATTTATTTTAAGACGAAAGAAGTAATTAAATTTGTAGTTTATAGTAAAAAGAAAATAAAACCATCACCGACACCTGCACACAAAATGAGTTAAAAGTTGATTAGATTGGGCACATGCATGTCTTGGAACTTAAACCCATTAAATGCTCTTCCTTTTAGTATTAACCAACTTGTTTTTTTTTTAACTCACCACTTTCTTCCTTTCTTAAGCAATCGTAATAATGCCACTAACACTTTTTATTAATTGTCAAATTAAGCATTTTCTTTCATTTAAGAACATGTACCAGTTGTTGTTATAGCCAGATTTCTAGCTTTCAATGAAAATGAAAGTTATAATAAGAAACGTAAGAAAAGATCTCTACCAATGAATCAATGTTAATTGAATGTTAACACAGATGAGATGTGGCGTGGATCAATTCTCTTCTAAAACACAATTCATGAGTGACATGGAATTAAAAATGTTCTTACCCTAATTTTCATTCTCATTTTGCAATAAATTTGGGTTTTAATCTAATAATGAAGGCATTGATTAGTTGTACGTTAAATACGGGTTACCCATTTGACCAAGCATGTGTTTGTGTGCAGACGCAGTTGATAAATACCCACAAATGGTATTTGCATTATTAAACTAAATTTAATTTCCATTAAATATGATTTAAAAGAATATAATTTAATAAGATAAAAAAAATGTCAAATAATATTTATATAGATAGAGAGAGGGGCAGGGGGCAGGGGGCAGTTGAATTCCACCACTGATTATCCAATCAATACACCCCATGATTGATCCCTCCATCTTCTCAATTCTAATCATTAATTCCACTTCTCTACAATATTATATAAACCTAATTAATTAAATTAACATGTAATATTATTATTATTATTATTATTAATTAATATATGAATGTAGCTACCACCACTCTTGTATTTTTGTTATGTTCATCAACAAACTAATACTAATCACTAATCATACATTAACATTTTTAATTTTGGACAAACTTAATTAAAAGATACGTACTGCTTTTATATATATATATATATATATATATATATATATTATCCCTAGTTGCTGATAGATATATATATATATATATTAAATAGTGAGTACCAACTAACAGGTTAACATGACAACAACCTTTCCAGATCTCCCCCCATTTCATCTCTCTCACACATATATATATATATATATATATATAGGATTGGGTTCACATAAGATCAGATTTTTTTTGTGAGACCATATTTGTTTACACTTGAGACCTCACAGCAAAACGCTATAAAGGTAAAAAAAATCCAAACATTCACAGAAAAAACACTATAAAGGTTACATTCACAATGTTTTGCTGTGAAGTTTTAAGTGTAAAAAAGGGATTTCACGAAAACAAGTTTGTCCCACGTGATCCCAATATATATGAGAATAGTCGTTAAGATGAGAATCATAAGAATGGATTTGGACCTTTGATTATTTTCAATCTCACCTCCACCTCATGAATCGTGCTTTTCACGAGAATTGATCTAATGCATCTTATTAGTGTCGATCTTCAAATAAATTGATCCAAGAATGAAGATCTCTTCTTACCTTTCTCCTCATAACTTGCATTCTTATCGGAGCCCATCGATATATATATATATATATATATAGAGAGAGAGAGATATATATATATATATATATATATATATATGCATACACACACAGATACATACATGTATACCAGGTTAGAAGACCGTACAAAAATTAAAAACTGAGAAACACTCTGGTAACCGTTTACTGGACAGTATACACATTTGTGTATACAAGTAATTTGAGCTATTTGTCTGTTTTGTACATGTATATAAAAATTAAAAAAAAAGCTTTAATTATTTGTATGCATATATAGATATCTGCATATCGTTTAAATGAATTGTTATCGGGATATTATTTAAGTTTTTTGTTTTGTTTTTTTTGGTTTTTCCCTTCTGAACTCCCTTTTCGTTTCTTTTGTTTCCCCTGCAACTCCTTTTATATATATATATATATATACATATATTTATATATATATATACATATATTTATATATATATATATATATATATGATGCATGCTATACCTATACAGTAGCCATCCATCTTTATATATACATCTTCTTGAAACAAAATAAATTATATACTTAACAGACCGACCTCTCTCTCTCTCTCTCTCTCTCTCTATATATATATATATATATATACACACACACCCCTATAAGCTAGTTAGCATCTCTTTTAATTCTCTCTCGCTACCTCTACAAGTACTGCCACAATCTTTATATATATATATATATATAGGTATCTTCCCTTCCCTTCCCTGTCTGAAGCTAGCTAGCTAGATAGAGAGATGGCTGATGTACCAGTACCACCAACAACCAAAAAGTCAAACAAAATCAGAGACATTGTTAGGCTTCAGCAGATGCTTAAAAAGTGGAAGAAAGCTGCCACCGCCTCCTCCGGTACCCTTCCCAACTGCAATGCCACCGCCACCACCACCACCACCACCACCAAAGCAACGACGACCACCAAAGGTCTGAACAAGTTCCTGAAGAAAACCTTATCCTTTTCGGATATCAGCAACAGCAACAGCAGCAGCAGCTCTCCGTCGAGTCAGGAAGATGTAGTACGAAAAGGATACCTAGCTGTATGGGTGGGAAGAGAAGAAGATGAGATGAAAAAGTTTGTAATCCCAACAGATTACTTGGCCCATCAAGCTTTCAGTGTCTTATTACGAGAAGCAGAAGAAGAGTTTGGATTTCAGCAAGAGGGCATCCTCAAGATCCCCTGCGATATCTCTCTTTTTGAGAAAATCTTGAAGATGATGTCCACTGACAACAATAACAAGAAACAGCAACAACATCCCACACTTAAAACTTCATCCTCGACATCCTCATTCTTCTTGTATGATGAGCAAGATGAGACGACATCTTCATCTTCTCCTTCTTCAGCTCAAGCTCAGCAGCTTAAGACGCCTCCAGCTCCAGCCACTACTCCCACCCACCACCTTCCCTTGTACTGTCGATGACTTCATTAATTATATAGTTCACATTCATCTGTATGCTTTGATTAATCTTATTATGATATCAACATCGTTTAATTAATTAAACACTTAATTGTTGTTCAATTCATCCGCATTGCTAGCTACTTGATTAAGAATGCATTGTGCATGGCTTAATGATTAATTAATATAACATAATTAAATTTGTTTGAAAGCAACTTAATTAACCTTGATGGATGGATGATACAAAACAAGTAAATGAAGAGGTACAATTAATTATGGCATGATTTGCAACCAACACAACACAACACAACACTTATATATTTATTTTAATTTTGGAAAAAGGATTTGAAATGAAAATTATTATAAGAAATTAAAGTGATTGATTAATTATAAGAATATTAGCAAATACCCTTCCTACGTAATTAGTATTCATTAATATCATATATATATATATATATATATATATATAAATAAAGAGAGAGAGAGAGAGAGATCGGTGAAGTTAGCTCCTTTCTTTTGATTTCTATTGCCACCCTTTGGACAAGGTATATTTTATATATATATATATATATATATATATATATGTATGTATGTATATGTATATATGTGATAATGAATTCATTAGCTAAGCTGTGTAGTTAATTAATTATTAATGTTAAGTAATATCTTAGTTAGTTAATTAATGAGGATGCATGTATATATGAAAGAAATTAAATGGAATTGAAGGAGGGGGTGAAAAGGACAGAATACAAGTACGTACGAACAAAACAACTGATTGACTACCTACATTCATACATATATATATACATATATATATTATATATATAAAATAGTAGTGGTAAAATTAATTAAGCTTTGATTGCGAAGAGTATTAATTAGGACGTACATGTATTCCCCAGTTTCTAGGGTGGAATTCACATGCCGATCCAATTCCCCCTATTCATCCATGTGGTTTCGCATGTGATCGTTTCAATTATCACTTCTTATTTTATCTTAATACCAATGCTTCTGCATGCCTCATCTAAATTCTTATATCACCCTCTACACTCTACTCTATATATTTACCATATGATAACAACAAAAACATTATTACTGTACAAAATTGCATTTCATTTTTACATTAACATCAAATAAATGGAAGCGGACGACTTTTACCGCAAGTTAAGTCACGCCGAATTATGTATGATTTTGCACATTAACGACTATTTTTTTCATGTTTTCTTAAATAATTAGTATTTTCGTTTGAACATGCCTCTATATATATATTGTATATTTTATCGACACATATACAATATCAAAATAAATATTTTGCCAATTAGTAGATTTGTCAATGCATATATATCTATTATATATGCATGCTAGTACATATGCATTGAAGCATATAAAAATTGAAATTCATTTGTCGTTGAATATAGAGGTTATTATGTTTATCAAAAAAATTTGTGGTTCTCACATGAATCAAGCTTTATGTATATATGTGGGCGAGTTCCATTAAGAACCTTAATATGTTGAGAACTCGAGAAATGACCTCGGCATTCATATATTGTTAAACAATGACTCAAATATGCAATCGTTGGTTTAATGAAAACAAGGGTAAATTGAAATTTCTGGAACTAAATCGCCTTATCAATGAATCGTGATAAGGAACACGTACAAAAAGAAAATTAGATTGTTCAACCAAAAGCAATTCTACTTTGACCTAACAGTTATGAAGGAATTAACAATTTGAAATCAAATAGATTAATACGAATATATATATATATATATATATATTCCAAGGGTTTGCATATTAGGCCTTGAATGAAAAAGGATTTAATAAATGATTATTAATAAAGAGTTTTTTTATTGGGAGATATGAGATAAAAGTAGAGTTGCTCATGGAATGTGCGGCCTGTTAGACCCGACCCGTTTATTCTGTTAGAAAAAAGGGTTTGTACAATCTTTAAAAAATATGGTCAAACTCGAGTTAATGGGGGGATTCAAACAATGAAAAGGGAAATTTGGATAGACCCCTCCAACTCGGTATATAATGATAATCAATTAAATTTTAAATAATTAATATTTATTAAAAAAAGTTCAAAAACGGTTTTAGGTTGGACTCCATTCACTGTGTATCAACCACCTCCCAAATATATACTATATGTGATGTCATATACACTACTAAAAATTTTGGTTTTTCCGACGACAAAATCCGTCGGAAAAACAACTTTTCGACGGATTTTGCCGTCGGAAAAACTTCCGCCGCTAAATGCAATTTCCGACGGAATTTCTGACGGATTTGTATTTTCCGACGAAAAAATCCATCGGAAATCCGTCGAGCAATTTTATAATATGTTATTTAATTTATTACCAGAGTTAATTAGAAGTAATATAAAATGAGATTAGAGTTACCGACGGAATTTCCGTCGGAAATCCGTCGGTAAACCTTTTCCATTTTCTTCCAAAACAATAACTAGTTTTTATTTCAAAAATAAAAATAACATTTTTCCGTCGGTAATTATATTAATTTTTTTCTTCCTAATTTAAAATATGAAAATGTTTTTTATTTTTAATAGACGAAAAATATTTACCGATGGATTTTCCGTCGGAAAATCCGCCAGATTTTTTTTAATAAAACTTATATATAATTATTTACCGACGGATTTTTCGCCAGAAAAATCCGTCGATAATACCCTTTTTTTTAGTAGTGATAGTACGTTCAGAATCCCGATCTTAAAATATTAAATGGTTAAATATTTTGTTGTCGAAGATTCCAAATTTCAGATGATCCAAGTTCATATTTTATGAAAACTGTTTTTTTTTTTTGTTCTTCCTTACGTTGTGTATATTAGTCTATTTTATATTTTCTTAGTTCGGATTTTTTTAATGTATTTTGATATATTTTACATAACTTATAATTTTATGTAAGTTTTTTTAAATGTAAGTGTTTAAGCTTATTGATAACCTCATCTTATTTATTAGACGGGGTTGGAAATTGAAATTGGAATTGTGATATTATTATTAGCTGAATAATTATTAACAAAGAAATAAGCAGTAAAAAAGAAACGTATATTGGGCCAGTCCAAAGCTACCCATACCCGATGGCCCACTAGGGTTTTAGTTCATCACAAACCAAAACCCCTTCCTTCCTTATCTTCTTTTCTCTCCATCTCTCCCTAGGGTAGACAGTAGAGTAATAGTAATTCATGATGCAAGGAACCGGAGAATCAAACCCCCTTTCTTCTGCAACTGCTGATTCTCCTCCTTCGTCCATTGGATTGGGGATGGGGATGGGGATGGGCATGGGAATTGGAGCAGCCATGAGAGCGGAAAAGGACAAGGGACGCAAACCCAGGAAGAAGCTACCGACTCCAAAGGAGATGATTGCACATTACGAGTCCAAAGGGATGCAGTCTCAGGAAGCCTCTCTTAAAGTCATCGATGATTTACAGAATCTTCTGATGAGGGTTGTCACCACCGCCAAGAACACCAATACCAATCTGGATCCCATCAATAGCCGCTTGTTAAGACTGGAATCAAAGTTGGATTCTAAACCTGGATACACGCAAACCCTAGGCATTGGTATTGTCTCTGGAGCTGTCATTCGTGTCTTCCCTCAAGTCGCTGCTTCCGTTGTTCATATTTGGAATTGTGTTCGTGAATCTACTTCTTCTACCTAGTTCTACTATTTTATGTACATGTATCAAACACCGTTTCAGATTTTTAATCCCTAATTTGAATGAGCCTATCACACCTGCTTCTACCAATCAATAAAATCATATGTTGTCGTAATTCAGACGAAAAAGCTAAGGTTATTTCAATTCTTCTTAAAGAGTAGAATTGGTGATGTACCGATTTGGATTGGAAGGCATTTCAAATAATTGGCGTTTTTGGTTTCAACTTTGAAGAAATTGGATTTCCTTATCTATAAATAATTTATACAAAAGTTATAAAAACAATTATATTATATTATTTTTTTATTAAAATTGATTGTTATTAAAAAAAAAATGTTTTTAACATTTTTTGGACCTTATTTCATACAATTTTATGAAATTCCACAACTTGCAAAATCCTATGTCTATAGGATTTAATTGAAATCCTAGGAGTTTCAAATATGGACAATGCAACAAACTTAACATGATATTGGAATGAATTAGAAATGGAAATCACTCCAAATCTATTCCATTTCAGCAGACTAAACGGGACCTAAGGCTTATTGTAAGAGTCGTCAATGTTTTCAACTGAGTAGGATTTTAGTACGTTAAAACGGTATCGAATGGAACATTTTTACTTTACTGTAAGAGTCGATGTTTTCACCAACTCACCATATATACAATTGTTTCTTAACTTTTCAAGTTCAATAATTCTAATATTTTGAGCTAGAAAAGATTGTGTTAGAATAGTTGTCTATCATCAGCAAAGTGCTCTCTTTCTTTAGATCAATCATCATCTTGCCTTGTTTCACTTGGTGCAGAACCTTGGTGCCATTCCAATTCCAAATTTCCAGTTCCGGTTCCAATTCCAATTCCGATTCTGCATCAGCACCACCACCAACTCCAAGGCCTTTCTTTCTTTTTCACAAACGTACGGGTTCCAATCAAGAAGGTGGAGGGTTTCCACTCATGTAGTCGGCTGCAAATTCTTCATCGTTCTTACCCAACATGTCTTTTAAGCTACACTCGCAATTCCTATCCTTGAGCGCCCAAAATCTTGGTTTTATCTTCTTCTCTAGTGAGTAACTAAAATATCTTGGATACTCCACCACTTCTTCTAATGGCTTTTGCATTCCCTTCACTAGAAACTCATATTTTGGCCTCAAAACCTCTTCTATACTGTACCCAAGCAATGGCGAGAACCTACCTACCATAAATGCAATTTCCCTCTTCGATAGCCCAATCTTCAACAAGTACATCATTCTGAAACATCACATCACATCAGATCGATTACATGATTTTATATTATATAAACCAAAGTTAAGTGCATCACTAACATGAAAGAGCCTCCCTGACTAACCTTGGAAGCATAGAATTGTTCACATCACATACAAAAAGCTCGGGATATTTTCTGATCACACGAGGAAGATGCTTCCTAGAAACACCAAGTTCAAGAAGGAATTCAACCTTCTTCTTGAGAGTTTTATCGATGTTTGTCATGAAAATTTCAGGGCATCGGCCCACCATTCTTCCAACACTTTCATCTTCAAGTCCCAAACCTTTCAAATACATAACTACCTGGTTCAACCAGTCAAAAATGAATAAAATATCCTATTAACTAGGAATTGAATGTCAGTGCACTCCTTACATTTATCTTTACAAGGGAAGGGAGTCGCATGGAATCAAGAAAGATTACACTTTTAGATGTCATTAGTATCCATGATTCATGCTACCACAGTAGGGGTATTGGTGTTTCAAATTTGTGTGTGCATCCAGTAGATGTCTAAAGATGGTTATCAAACTTGTTTAACTAATCAGTACGTTGATCACTATATAATACCAATGAAACTGTTAAACACCTATTTACAAAATTGCAAATCTCCTACTCCTCTTTAAGCCAAGGGAGAAAGAAATTACCAACCTGGCAAAGTTCTCGTGGTTTCTGCATAAGTAGTTGAGGACTAGTGCCAATAACTTGATGCAGCATCTTTTCTGTAACACCTAATTCACGAAGTTGTTGAATCATCAACTTCAGTTTTCCAACTGAACAACCTAAAAGAACTGGCAAGCCCTTGATTGCACGACGAATGCTAACTACTGCAACCTGTCATGAAATGTTATCACAATTTACCAAGTAACATATCATACAATTTCCTTATGTGTGTCATGGAATCATCCACAATACTATTCTTCCCACTTGGTGCAAAAAAGTGGGTCAGAATAGAAATAAAGAGAAGGAACACCCATGAAGAGAAGTTTGCAAGTGCTTCTATCTTTAACAATGTATTTTCATCATTTTTCAGCATCAATTTTCCTATCATATACATACACTAGTGAACATAGTATCAAGGTGCTAAGGTGGGGCAAGCAAATAGGATGTCATGGCAAGCGAATCAGTCAGGAGCCCTAGGCTTTGCAAAACAACAAGTCGTTCACCATATACTTGTATAATATGTGCATAATTATATGTAGGGGAATGATGTGTTATCCCTGCACTGAGTGAACAACACATTTTTAGTCGCCCAGTTTTGATCTGAACATATATATAACTTCCACTTTTTTTCCTTTTGATGACTGAGATAGCAAATCCTAAAGCGGGTGCCTGACTGTAGAGCTAAAAGATCGTTTATCAATACAATCTCTGTGTAATGGTCATAATACATACTTTTATCCAACTTAGCTCTTAATACGGAATTATTCAAGTTCGGTTCTTTTGGCTGTTGACGCATCTGAGTTCATAACAGATCCATCCCCCAGAGAAATCCAACATTATAATTTTGCATAGATGACTGGAACACTCAATACTTGAAAGTTGATTCCTTTTTTAAACAAATGTAGATGTGCTGTACATGTAAACAATATACATGCATAAAAGCTCAAAGACTTATCTATGAACAGTTGTTTAAACGTATATAGGATATATATCAAATCAAAAATTAAATCACAGATGCTACAAAGATATGAGGGGGGTGTATACTGCAATTATATAAAAAATAGGGCCCGTCTCTTGTAGAGGAATAAATTAAATGTATGTAAAAGACCATAGACTTCAATGGAACACTCATCATTGTAGAAGCAGAAAAAAATGCTGGAAGGAAATCAAAAGTGGAAACTGGAAGCAGAAAAAAACTGTTGGCCCATCAAGCAATGATACATGAGATTACATACCTTCTCTGCATAAAAGAAAGTAAGGATTTCCTCATAATTTTTTAGGATGCTCGTAGAAAGAATCCAGGGATACTTCAGCAACAGCTTACCAAACTCCATATCATCTCCATACACCTAAAAAATATTGGTACTGGATACGTAAGGTAACAACAAAACATGGAACATTAAAGAATATCATGATGAATATGACAGGATTATTAGTAGGCTGCAATTATCCCCTGCAAACACATTAAAGCTGCTTTCTGACTGGGTTAGAAGAAGATGTAAGCCATAAGGTGTCTGGTGAGGATGTTTAATCTAAAAACAATACGACAAGCCTATGACTTAGCTAAAATCTAAGAAATCAATCTCAAAAACATAAGGTTAAGCTCTCTTATAAAATTCCTTCTTACCAACACCTCCTAATAGCTTCACAAACAAAACCACTCAACAAAAAACCCGTTCCAACCGCCTTCAAGCCAAACCCCAACAAAAGAACTCTAACCCTGCATAATTTGACAAGAGAAGTTCAAAGGGCCTCTGCTTCATTTGTTGATGAAAAGTGTCTCTATGGGCATTAATTTGAAGAGAAAGGACGCAATTGTATCATTTACGGTCAGAAGATGCAGAAGAGGATGACCCTGGAGAAGAGAAGAGCTTCCTAATGAATTAGCTCCAATCTCTATGCATGCCTTAGCTGGGTAACTGATTACCAAACAATGAGCATAACTGGACAAGCTGGAAAAAAAGAGGCCCAATGACAGCTAAACTGAAGTCCAACAGCTTTTAAACCAAGTCGTTGAGCTTTTTCAAGACCCTACTTATTTACCTCCTTTTAGTGCAGCAGTATAAATGCTACAAACATCATTGTACCTTTGTAAAAACCTGTCTTCTTGGTTTGATTTCTTTCTCGATGTCATAGAAAAGTATTGGAGGGTACAAAAGAAGAATACTTCTAACGCAATCCTTAGGCACTCCAATATAGCGAAGGAAATCCACCATCGGCTTCATATGGGATTCTACAGACAATAAAAGGAGTCGGGGAAATGATTCTATCAGGTAGCGGAAAGACCCATCTCCAGAACCCAACAAATGTAGCCCTCCACGCCTTGCTTGAATCTACATGAATGGCAGAATTTAACGGAAGGTGGAAAAGCAAACAGGGACAACCAGTAATTTCATAAGAAGAAGACGATGATCCACTTTAGCATAGAAGCATCACCTTCTCCAGAAATGATAAGGTCTGCTGCACATCCTCATCAACAGGTACCGATAAGTGCAACATCATTCGCTGAGCACTGCTTGCAATTGGCACTTTTCCATCAACATTGGAAAATAATATTTCCTTCAAATATTTGACCTATAAGCAAATGCGAAATAGTGGATCACACCGGCTAATACAAGACATAAAATAAGCGGAAGGAGACCTTTTCTAATAGAAAAGTTCAATTTGGGAAGTTAACCTTTTTATTATAGAATTTGAACCCTTTCAATGCATAGAACCATGGGTAGAGGTAAGTAATACTTTAAGAGGATATGTGTCACTCTTAACATCTCACATAATCATATTATGAGTAGCATTTTGGTGAAGGGAAAAGTTCACTGAAGAATATGAAGTGGAAAATTAACCACGACGGCCCTTAATCATGAATATAAATTATAGCCTGTTAGGCCTTGTAGCTAATATCAAATTGCACATAGTATCCAGATAATTTGGTCAAGCCATTGCCAACAATTTTTGTGTTAGATTTTGCCAAAAATGAATCGTCATATTCAAATACCATTCTTAAATGTGCATCCACACCGTTGAAGAATACTATATTTCCATTCAGAGCGGGATTGGCGCAAGTTAGTCAACTATACCATACAAAACCAATCTTGGCTGTAGATAAGGTTGAGAGTAAATTTCGGAACCAATTTAATCCACATCTTTGGCATTGATTTGATAATCAGCATGGACGGTCGAGATTAGTTTGTACATTGCGACCTCGTTTTGACAGTAATACATGTGAACAAAACTTCATCTACATTCAATTACCTTCATTGACACTTTAACAAATTAATGCACGTGAAAGTTAGTGAAGGCGGGTGAAAGTGAAATAAAAGATATGAGCAATCAATTGAAGTAATTGAAGGTGAGATGTTTTTTTAACTGGTAGATGCAAATATATGAATAGATGGAGGTTTAGGGAAAACTCAAAAAAATGAAAAACTGAGCTAACACTCTGGTAAACTACATGGGCATACAAGGAATTGAAGTTGTTCCTCCTATCATGCCAAACAAATTGCTTATAAATTACTCGTATGCACATGTGCAAACCATGTAGATGGACGGTTACCGGATATTCCTCAGTTTTTTCATCTTTTTGTGGGTTTCCTACCTCACCCTATATGTATATTATCTATGATTAAACATCCATTTTGTTATATTTTTTTTCATCTTCTATTTTTCATGGTTCTGGGTTTCTTTTTTTCAAGGTTCTACCTTGATCTTCCCCCCCCCCCCCCCCAGCACACATATTATAGGAGTATGGGAGTAACGGGTAAGCCTGAGAAGAAGAAGGAAAAAAAAATAGAATACCTTGTGAAGGAGGCTAGGAGGAGTGTGAGCAGAGAGATAACGAGCAATATGGATAGCGGAAGGCAGAGGAAGACCCACCATGCTCTCCAACAGAGGAACCAAACCCTTGTCCCCTTTCTGTTTTCCCATCTCAAAAACCCTTTTCTTGTAACTGGAAAGAGATGAAGAGGTGTTGCTGCTATTGGTCGATTGAAATAATTCATCCAAGTCCCGAACGCTATCCATCAACATTTCTAGATACTTGGGCGCTTTGATAGCAATTTCGTTGGATTCCTCCTCCGAAACTCCATTTTCCTGTAGAATCTCAGATACGGCCTCTCTTGCTGCTTGTTTGTGCTTTTCATCTTCGTAACCATCGTCGGAAGTTATAGAAGGAGGAGAAGAAGAAGAAGAAGAAGAAGAAGAGTGCCGGCGGCGTGGTGACCGATGGGAATCGTGGTGAAAATAATCAGCAAGGTGTCTGTAAGTGCAAAGCTGGTCACTGTGTTGTAAATGAAATTGGGGTGTTAACAAGAAACAACGATGAAGACGAGTAGAATGATGAGCCGGTAAGACAAGCCAGTTACTTGGAACCTGAAATAGAGATGAAGTAGAAGGCGGCATATCTGCAATTCACATCGGCAGCTAAACCCCCCCTTCCCTGCAACTAAAACCCTCGGATTTTTTTTTGGTTGATATTTGTTTGAGCAAAAACTACGAATTCGTCCCTCGACTATTTGTCATTTTACATGTTTGCGTCTACTAAACATTGATAAAAGCAATAACAAAAAAGCATGTGTTGATGTTCACCAAGTACTTACCGGGTAAGCGTTTATTGAAAGTCACTTATGTTATTTGTGAGTATAACAGCGAATAATCTTACCTGGAAAGAGGCATATCAAAGACCGATAATCTTACCTGGTAAGTAAATGATAAGTTTTTTTTTCTTAGACGCTTTACAATCAATTTCGGATTACGCTGGCATCCTTTGATCCTAGTTTTTGGATGACCAGTCATTTATAATACAGTCCATATAATGTCTTTTTTGGGAGTCAGAGGAAATGCATACTGTGTACATCAATTAGTAGGTATGAGAGAATTAACGTCGGATTCCGAAAGGGAAAATGATTGATTTACCCATTCAAAGCAATTTACATGCAGAACTCGTTTAACATACTGTATTATCTATTGTAACAGGGTATGGGTGGATCTGCCACGACATCGACATTATTCTTAGCAATAATTATTAAGACAACGACCCGTTGTCTTTATGTACAAAAAGCATGTTTTGCAATGGATATAGAAAGAAACACGAGGTTGGAGATCGTAGGATAAGAAAACATAAATAGTTTTTTTCCAAGTTTAGTTAATAAGCATTGGTTGATGGCTCTGTGATACACCCATGAAATGGTCTCAAAAGCCATCACATATGACGCAAAATCTCTACTGAGATTCACAAATCCGTTGAGTTTGTTATTAACTGAAGTTGGAGCCTCTTTCATTTTGAACATGAAAATAGGGGATGAACTCCAAATAAGAGTTGCTTCTTCTTAGGTCCTACAGAAGACAAGAACATAAAGACATATTGTATAACTATGATTATATAATACAACCATAACTTCCATAATCACAACAGATATCACCAATGCTCCACAATAGGAGGTGTTGTATGTGACCCAAGCTTATGTTTCACATCACATTGCTCTTTTGGGCCATTTTTTATTTATCATGATTGGGTTTATGGAATGGCTTAGATTTAACTGTCAACAACAGTTTTTTGATAAATCATTTATGATTATTTATTTGCTAAAGTTTACGACCGTGATTTAGATGGGCTTACCAAAATGGACGTACCAATGATTATGAAACGGTGTGCATTTAAATTATTGGGTCATTAGGTTTTTTTTAACGGGATTTGGTTCTTGGAGCTAGGGATTCAAAGTAAATTGTTTTTAGAGTGAATTACACCGGTGGTCTATGTGGTTTGCTCAAATTTTAGATTTGATTTTTAAAACAAACTATCTACATCAATGGTTTATAATTTTTCATTTCCATAAGACCCATGGTCATTCCGTTTAACGACGTTAGTTAACAACCGTAATAAAAAACCAATCGGTCTTTGAACAAACTATAAGGACTAGAAGTCTAATATGCTATAAAATTTAATGTGATTCATGGTTTTTTAATTTTTAGTAGATTTTTTTATATATCCATCATAAATCAAATATCTTAAAATAAAATATATATTAAATAAAAATATTTATATTTATTTTGTGCAATGATGGTTTTTCTCGATTGTCTGATTAATCAGTGTTTTTTAATCTTAATCTTAATTTTAGATATTTGTAGTTTGACTATATATTAATAACCTTACGTTAACCGAACTTAATTTTCAATATTTTGCTCTCATATTTCAATTCTCAACCCAAAATATATGTGACTTTATATTGATTTACTCGAGATTGTTTAACGCTAAATTTTTTATGAATTTAATAGTTTTTAAATAAATATAAAGATTTTTATTAATATGTACATTATTATAAAAAAAATGATTTGTGATTTTTAATAATAATAATAAAAAACATGTATCACATTAAATTTATAGCAGATTACACTTCTGGTTTTATAGTATGTTCAAAAATTGATTAGTCCTTCATAAAGATGCTAACTAATCGTTAAGTGGATGAACCATAGATATCAGCAAAATGAAAAGTTATATGAACTATCAACGGTGATAAATTGTTTTAAGGACCCAATCCAAATCTTGAACAAACCACTGGGACCATCGGTGTAATTCACTCTTGTTGTTGTAAGGTATCTCTTGGTATTTTTCTGTAAACATTTTTTTTGATAGATCTTCATTTATTTTCTTAAGTTGTTTTTAAAGTTTCAATAAAGGTTTTTCAGGGTTTCGTCCCTTTTTTTTATAGTAACATTAAACCTTAACCCCTAATCGTCAACTCATCCACAATAACACCTAAACCAGAGGCAAAAACCATTAAACCCATAGCACTTAACCCAAAGACAGAATCCATAAACCATAAATCCATATCTAAGGATATGGACAAGCATTTTCCCAACAGGTGACATCATATAAAATAGTTGCACTTCATAAAACAATACATGAACCTAACTCTTTTTATCTTATAGTGAAGGAATTTACCGGTGACACGTGCCATCATGGGCTCCTAAGAGGGTCCATCCATGGTGGGACGTTGCATTTGCAGACAAAAGAAGGTGAAGCCACGGTTGACTTGCAATTAAAGAAGACCGAGACGGTATTAAAGTTGTAGATAAAAAATGATTTCATTGATTCCATTTAATAAAATAATTTAATATTATAACATAATCTTAAACATAATTTAATGATAGAAATAAAAACTAAAAAGTTAGACCTAAAATAACTTTTGGAATTTTTTGATATTCTATACTCAGCCGGAACGAAGAAGAAAAAAAGAGAAGCTCTCGATTGTCTGTCGCCTCTTGGCCCCTCCCCCTGCCCTCGACAGTCACCGGCGACCGGTGGATGCAGTGGCGAACACACAACTCATTTTTTTTATCTGCCAAAATTCCGAACTCGTCGCCCTCTCATCTCTGACCCTCAATCTCAAACGAACCTCACTCACACAGTCACACTCCATCAAGGGTTCGACTATCGGCCGTAGTACCAATCTCTTTGTCACTCGCACTCTCAAACGACCACTAGACTCTATCTGATCTCATCTGCCTCAGCGGCTTGTCTATCTGCTCGACCACTTGGCTCTGATTTGGAAATCGATTTTGTCTTCGGTCCATTAGTATTCTAGTTCTCCATCTCGGTTGTTGGTTTTGGGTAAAACACTAAACCTCTTGCTGTTGCTTTCTACTTCTATTTCTGATTTCTGAATGAATCTAATTTTATTGGCTTTTTGCCTTCTGATTTTGGATGAATATGATTATGTTGATTTGGTTGATTTTTGAGATTGTTGCTAAATTGTATTAGTTGGTAAACGATAATGTCAGTCTTGGTTTTGCAATTTTGTTTAGAATATGGAGCCGAAATGTTGGATAAACAATCTGACAGACCCCTGGTTTTGTTTTCAAATGTTGGTAATCGGTAAACCAATTGATATATTGATTTTTATAGGGGTGTAAACAAGCCTAGTCGATTAGCAGGTTATTTGAGCTCAGAATCGAAAAAATAGTATCAGGCTCTAGCTCGAGTATTTTTTCAATTTTTGAGCTCGAGACTGATGCTCGATTTATGAGCTCGAATTCGAGATCAATTAACTCATTTATTTACTCAAGCTCGATGATTTTATATTTTGATTATATAATTTTTAGCTCGAAAAGGGTATGCTCGGCTCAACTCGACTCGTAAATTTTAATCCAGCTTTCAAACGAGTCGAGTCGAACATTGGTGTTATGGAGCTCGACCTATTAAGTTGAGCAATATTTATTTTGTGTTCGAGATCGACTCGAGCTCGATAATTATTAAGCTCGAGCTCAAGATAAACAAGCTTGAGCTCGAATAGATCGTTAAAAGCTCAACACATTTACATCCCTAGGAGAGACTTGTTCATATCAGCGACATTAATAGTTTTCACGACATAGCACTTAACGAAAAATGAGAATCTAATGAGACAAGATCGATCTATTGTTGTTGCCTTTAACTAGGTTTGTGACAAATTGGTTTAATGCCAAGTGCCAACATGTTGTTTTATAACAAATTGGTTTAATTGTTTGTTCCTCTAGCCATCTGGTTCATTATGGATCAGCCGAATTTTGTATTAATCTGTAATGTGTTCATTTCTTTTAAGTTTAAACGATGTATATATTTATATACGTAAAATATAAATAGTAATATATTCAATCAAAATTGTAAAAAATTAACTGAAAACCGAACCGAATTAGTTATCTTTATTCGGTTAACCGAACCTTTTAAGTTATTTTTATTCGGTTAACCGAATTGTTTAAGCCAAAAACAAAAACTCGAAACCATTTTAGTTCGGATGAATTATTTGGTCTCGGTCCTTTCGGATTTTTTTAACACCCGTAAGTGTTCCCCCAAGGCCCCAACCATAAAAGTTTCTGGATCCACCACTGGGTGGATTTGTAGGTTGGACTTGCTCACCGGCACCTTTGCTCATATTCACGATCGGTAAGATGAAATTACATATTCTAGGGTTTATTTCATAAAACCGTACATTGAATGAGAGTGAGACTAATTGAAATTTCTGTTGATATTTGAAGTTGATGTTTCTGTTGTGTGATTGTCTGATTTGTGTCATATTCCAATTTCATGTTTCTAAACTGGATTTGAAACTTTGACATCAAGATTTTTGCTGTGTCACTTGTCATAGTTCAGATTCCATCCTTCAGATCATCAAGATTCTTGCTAGTGTTGTTTTTTTTTTTGTTGAAAGTTGAAATGTCACTTTAGTTGAAATTGGCAGTTGATGCTTTAGTTGAAGTGTCACTTCAGTTGAAATTATTAGGATTTTGAAGTGTTTAATTCTTGTTTTTTGAAATTGTTAGGATAGTTGAAGCTCTAATTCTTTTCTGTTGCTGGTTTTCTTGCTGAAAGTGCGACTTTTGTTGAAATTGTTAGGATATTTGATGCTTTTGCAGTTATAGAAAAGGAAGAAATTACGACTGGTTATCAGACTCTGGCGCTGCTAACAAAATCCAAGACCTAATTTTGGAGGCAATGGCCTGTGTGTATATTCCAGTACAAAATTCAGAGGAGGAGGTAAGAGTGGCTCTTGACCAGCTTCCCAGAGATGCAACTGATATTCTTGACATTCTTAAAGCCGAACAAGCACCTCTCGATCTCTGGCTCATTATCGCGGTTAGTTTCGTATTGTGAAATTAATTCAATTGCCTGAACTATTTGAAACTGAACTAAATTCGTTTCCTGCAATTTGAAGTTTCGTGTATGATTTACTGGCTTGTTTGAGTTATTGAAATTTTGCAATTTATTGAATGCCAATTGAGACAATTCAAGATTCGTTTTGATTTTTCAAGCAAGGATTATGCGATGATGGCCCTAGTGGCGAAGATCTCGCCTCTCCTTTTCATGGATTAGGTTAAACAATAAGTCTCACTCTTGCCTCATATGCCATGTGGATATAGAAATAAGAAAAAATAAAAAGAAAACAAACACAAGATCAAGGGTAAACTTAAATCTCCTTATGCGTGTTTTGATCAAGATTAATAAGGTCATTACGTTGTAGTTGCTTTATAATATACATTAGCAGGTTTTTTGTTACGAAGTATACCTCAATCTGTGTTTCTCCAATTTAGAGAATTAGTGAAATACATACTATGAAGGACCATTTATATTCTACAATCATCTATTGCTTTCCAGGACGACGACGACAAATGCAAAAAATTCTGGGACGCATAACGAAATCTTCGTTTTTTATTGTAACATTAAATTGAACAAAAATCTCTAATAAAAGCTACTTGAAACTTTAAAATGTGGTTAGTGTCCATAATTGACAACCGACACAAATGATATAAGCCCAGATATATGTATCTCCTATGATAGGAATTAATGTACGAAGTTAGGATAGTATATCTATGTTGACATACATGCACAATTTTGTATCTTTGGGTTGAAATTGTCAATTGTGTTGAGTTTTCATGTTAGCAGTTGCTGATGAGTTTGTTGTTGAACTATTATTCGGTGCAGAGGGAGTACTTTAAACAAGGAAAAATTGAACAGTTCCGCCAAATTCTGGAAGAAGGGTCCAGTCCTGGTATGCTTTGATTTATATATGCGCTTTATATAGTATGACATTAATGAACTATTACTACAAAGTATAAACATTAATTTGATATTTCTCAGGTTATTTTCTTCTGAATTTTTGGCATGGCTTTATTCTAACTTGTTTGTTTTGCAGAAATTGACGAATACTATGCAGACGTGAGATATGAAAGAATCGCCATCTTAAATGCCCTGGGGGCCTATTATAGCTACCTAGGGAAAATTGAGACAAAACAAAGAGAGAAGGAAGAACATTTTATTTTGGCGACACAGTACTACAACAAAGCCTCCAGAATCGATATGCATGAGCCTTCAACTTGGGTTGGAAAAGGTAACCATAATGAGCTTTTCTGGCACTGGATAGTAAGTAAAGTTATGAGATTTTTACATCTTAGTTCATTATAAGTAAGCTATGAAAGGAGAATGGGCAGAAGTTGCAGATGGAGTACATTCTTGAATTGGTGTGAAATTACAGATGTGACACAAGGGTTATAGACTAATAAGATACAACAGGGAATATTATCCTAGGTGCTCCTGGTATGAGGTTAATGATTTGACTTCTACCTATAAATTTTTATTCAGTTAAGCTACAACATTCTTTTTTTGGACCATTCACATGATGAAAGCTCACTATAGTTTATGGGCAGACCAACTATAGTTTTTGTATACGCACTGGATCCAACAAAAGTTATAGTTCTTGTACCCGCTTGGTTGCAGGTCAGCTTTTGCTAGCTAAGGGTGATGTTGATCAGGCTTTTGCTGCATTCAAGATCGTATTAGATGGAGACCGAGATAATATTCCTGCTCTTCTTGGCCAGGTATATTTCTATCAAATTACTTTTTTCTAAGAAGGGATGTCGATTTTCTTCATTGTGGTTTGTATTGTAGAAAGAAATAGAAAGCTACATCAAGTGCCTGGAGCTCTGTGATTGTTATACGAGATATAAGAAAAATTAGTATTGAGAATGCTTTCTGCATGGCTAGAAAACTGAATGTTTTTGGTCAACACAATTTTCAAATTTTTTCCGGCGCCCCTAGGAATGCCTAAACATGGAAGATATATATATATCCATCTTACTAAGGATATTGCATCAGTCACAGCTTTGATATGACATTCTTGTTATCAACACTCAACAATGAAATTATGCTAAGGTAGTGAGGTTTTGTAATAACAAGAGCAGTTGGGCACTTGGGCTTGATATGCTCAATTGAACTCTGTTTTTTAAGGTTCTTCATTGAGATGCTTCCAGATCATACTGCTCTATATGTTGCTTATGAACCATTAATTAGTTTTTGGTAGTTTTAACTGATCACGTTACTGGGATAATGCAGGCTTGTGTTGAGTTCAATCGTGGGAAATACTCTAGTTCATTGGAGATGTACAAGGTTCTTTTACTTCTATAGTTTTATCTTTTCGATTCTGTAGATGTATAATCTTTTTGGAGGTGGGTACACTGTTAACTTAGTACAACTTGTTCTTTATCACAATTTGTTGCACTTCTATATCCCACCTGGTTCTTAATGCGGAATCATCTTCTTGCCCCCTATTATTCTAATTTTACTTCCCTTTGATAGAGAGTCTTGCAAGTGTATCCTCGATGTCCTGCAGCTGTACGACTTGGCATAGGTCTCTGTCGCTACAAATTGGGTCAATTTGAGAGGGCCAAACAAGCATTTGAGCGTGTGTTGCAGGCAAGCCATGTTAACCACTTTTCGCACGACGTTGTTTTTTATATAATAGTGATTGCTAATATCTATTTGTGTCCAACTACTTATAACTGCAGTTAGATCCAGAAAATGTTGAGGCCCTTGTGGCACTCGGGATTGTGGATTTACAATCCAATGAAGGTCAGTCTTGTCTTAATGGTGCAGTAAATGGTATTTATTTATGAGACTTGCTGATATTGCTGACACTGCCTGAATCTCTTGGCTAACCTGTTATTCTCTTTACTAGTAGTCTTTTCCTCGCAACTAAGCATTTGCATCATTTTTTTCTAATTGTCACACTGTTCTTTGCAGCTTCTGGTATTAGGGGAGCAACGGAGAAGATGCAAAGAGCCTTTGATGTCTATCCATATTGTGCGACGGCACTAAATTATCTGGCTAACCATTTCTTCTTCACTGGTCAGCATTTTCTAGTTGAGCAATTGACTGAAACAGCTCTTGCTGCAACTACTCATGGCTCAACAAGGGCACATTCTTATTATAACCTTGCACGGTCATATCACAGCAAGGTTTGGAGTTCTCATCATTTATTCACAATATATTGTTATGCATGTTTGAGCTATATAAGCCATGCAAAACACTAAGTACTCCTTAAATGCTAAAACTTCCAAAATATGCTTGTGTTATCTTTTGATGTGTCGGTGCTCTTTTGAGCTACTGAAGTTCAGTGAGATGTTTAAACCTTGCATATTCCATGTCCTCCTTGTTCAAACTGTGATTGGTAAAGCATTTCTCACATGTTAATGATTTAGTTCATTTTCCATCTTATCATATTACAAAGTTCTAACCTGTGCTATTTTTGGCTTACATCGTCTTTATTTCACCAAAGATCACTATGAATCATGTTGTCGTGTTGGATATACAAATTCATTATGTGATTGAATTTTTTCACTTTAATCAAAATGAGTTATTAGTAAAAGTACATATATTTAAAGATTCTTACACTTCAAAGGTGATTGTACATTTCATGATGCTTGTTCCTGGTGCAGCAATGTGTTTCTAATCTGGTGTCTATAATGTCTTTTTTTTGCCTGGAATGCAGGGTGATTATGAAAAGGCTGGACTATACTACATGGCATCTGTAAAAGAAATCAATAAGCCTCAAGAGTTCATTTTACCTTTTTATGGTTTGTTAACTTAATTTTACAAAGTTTTGTTTAATAACTCTACTGATTTATTTCTTCTCGAACTGTTTATTCTTAGAAGTGCAATAACTCACCTTGCTTTTTTTCCTTTTTGACATGTTGTCACTTGTTGTACTTTCTCGTAGCTCTCTTCTTGTGTATCTTGTCCTTTCAGTTTGTTACATAAGTTAACTTTTGTAGCTTGTACCATGGTGGATGGTTGCAAAGTGCAAACATATTTATCCTCTTAGAATGTTAGCATTAAATTGCAGTCTTTTGTTTCATTTTGCTTATTTATTTCGTAGGGTAATTAATGTTTGTTGTAGAGCTATGTTTTAGATGTCAACTCAATATTTTCTTATCGGTTGGCATTGCACCAATTTGTATCAGATAGTATCAGATATACATCTTATAATTTTGTACTGAAACAGGTCTGGGACAAGTACAACTAAAATTGGGAGATTTCAAAAGCTCTCTCTCAAATTTTGAGAAAGTCTTGGAAGTTTATCCTGAGAATTGTGAGACATTGAAGGCGAGTCACAAAGATAGTCTTGAACTCTGTACATTTTCCACCTCTTTCAAGTTCCTAGTGACTAAATTTGTACTTCTTCAATGCAGGCTGTTGCTCACATTTATCTTCAGCTCAACCAGACTACCAAGGCTCATGAAGCTTTGAGAAAAGCCATCCGAATTGATCCACGAGATCCGGAGGTTATGTTAATTACCATTATGCGACGAAACATTATGTATAAAGAACGTGGTCTGCCTTAAAACTGTAGAAAGTTGTATGAAAATAGCACATTTAAATTTTCAATTTTCAAGTGCCAGTGTATGTGTTCTCATGGAGTGCCCATCTAAGAGCATCAGCTTTAAGAACAAGAGTTCTTGAGTTAACTAATTTTGAGTTTTCATAAGCTGCTGTTATATGTAGCTATATGTGTAAAATCAATCAGCTCTGCAGCCCTTATCACTGGCCTTGATACTATTATGTAACTAAATCAGTTCACTGCACTGCACCACCATATATCAGTCGTTTAGTTTTTCCTCTTTCGCTCATGCACATCTCTTCTCTGATCTCAATTTATGACTCTGGAAGTAGGTATGTATGATTCTCTAGTTTGTTCTGTCATCAGGTGCCTCTGCTATTTCTACTCACACTTTTCATTTTCTAAACAATGGTGCAGGCTTTTCTGGATCTTGGAGAATTGTTAATTTCAACCGACTCTGGAGCTGCTTTGGATGCATTTAAAACCGTAAGAAATTGATATTCCCTTTTTATTGAACCATTTGCAATGTGTATTTTAGTTTAACTTTCAATTGCTATGGTTTCTTATCATCAGACTGCTATGGAATTAAACATTCTGCAGCTTTGTTTCTTTCAAAGGCTTTAAGAGTAATTGGTTTTGAATTACTAGGAGAACTAGGTGTGCAACCTAAAGACAAGTAAAAGCTTGTTGAAAGTTCTATCAGTGTTTGTTACAAGGCTAAAACTGGCTACTTGTCCCTGCAAGTGTAATGAATAGTAGATGACCATTTCAGAACATTAAGGAGTTGCCAGAAGTAGATAGCAAGTATCATCACATGACTGGCAGCTTATATGCTTCCCCCCTATGGCCCCTTCAAAACTTGTTGCTCTCAACCAATCTCACTTGGACAGAGCTTTTTAGCTTGTATATCATTCCCACAATGAAAAACTTAATCAAGTTATATATTTTGAGTCTTCTCAGTCGGTTTCAGAAGATACCATCTGCAATTCTATCACTTGCTCTCAGTTTATCTATTAATATTCAAGGTGAAAGGGATGCTTATTTAAGCAGATAACTTGTGAAATTTTTTACGATCAAAATATTTGTTATCTTTAGGTGAAGACATATCTCCACATTCTTTCTATGAGGAAAGATGTAGGATCCCACTCCTAATTGTATAATTGCAGCCCACAGTTACGTGGTTTTCCTACATGTCCATTTTACTCTCCTGCTTTTTAAGAAACCAGGTTTATTAGTCTTACCCATCATATTGTATTAGCGTTTAAACAAAGTGTGGTTTTTCTATGTAAGACCAACTGGCAACTCAGATTGGAGCCTGGCTTATGTGCATAAATAAATATGCTCGATGCTTTTGATTCTCTTCAAGCACCTAAAAAAGAATACTTGCTTTCTTCTTCTTGTATTTGAACATTATATTGTTTTGAAACGTTTACATCATGGTGCTATATCAAATTTTGTTAAATAAATCTTTAATATGGCCTTTTGGGTCCTAAATTTTCATGTCTTTTTGTCACTTCTAACTAGCATGTTATGATAGGCACGTAATCTTTTGAAAAAGGCAAATGAAGAAGTATCAATCGAGATTCTCAACAATATTGGCGTTCTTCATTTCGAAAGAGGAGAGTTCGAGGTTTGCGTCTTCTCCATGTGTTGGTGGATTTAGAGTTCATTTTTAAGAGAATGACCATTGGTTCCCTTTCATATATCTTCATGCCTTGTTTGAATTCAGCTTGCTCAACAAACCTTTAAGGAGGCTCTTGGTGATGGAATATGGCTCAAGCTAATAGATAGTGAACCACAATCTAACTCTATTGGAGAATCATACTCTGATCCTATCAGGAAAGCATTATATCAGCCCATGGAGTCCAGTTTAGCTGCTCGAGTGTACAAGGACATGCAGTTGTTCCATAACCTTGAGAAGGATGGTATTGCGGTGGAATTACCATGGGATAAAATCACAACATTGTCCAACCTTGCTAGATTATTCGAGCAGTTGCATAAAACTGAGACTGCTAGCATATTGTACCGTCTGATCTTGTTTAAGGTAATTGTCTGAGTATTGAGTGATTGATTTATTTTCCAATGAAGAATACTACATTGAAAAGCAGGTATGATAGTTTTTTCTGTTGTTACTATGCACTTCTGGGGTTGGGCGTTATTATGTCTTGAGCATTAATTCAGATGGATGGCCTGTTACTTTGTTGGTTGAGGTTAACAAAAAGTATGCAAGTAATCACTGTGACAAGTAGATAATTGATGATTTCGTGACTTGTGCCAAAAGAAAAAAGTTTGGTTCAAGTTGAAGATTAAGGAGCATTTCAGTTTCTTAACAAGTTATTTGGATGCTCATACTTCACAATCACTTCTTAAAACAATTGTTAGTTTTCCTTGTGAGGTAAAGCAATGCTTCACATAGGTTTTACTTATTTATTATTTTTGGTGCATCTTGTTTTAAGCTATGTAAGAGTAATGTATCTGTACCCAACACAAAATATGACCTGCTTTGAGCAGTAAAGGTTGTGCATGAAACAAATCCTGTAATAGTTTGTATGCCTATGTTCTTGTGAACTGTGATTTACCATATATTTTATTTCCATATTGATTTGATTAATGAAGTTTCCATGATCTGGTTAACATCTTTATATCATTCTTCTTATTCTCTTTGAGCCTCAGTTCCCGGAGTATGTAGATGCTTACCTAAGACTTGCTGCTATTGCAAAAGCACGGAACAATGTTCCACTGAGCATTGAACTGGTACTTACAGCTCTTCGTGGCATCCTTATTTACATTTTATGCTGTTATTTGTTTCCTTCATTTTGCATCTAAATGTGAAAAATGTGATGCTTTTGTAGATTCGTGATGCTCTGGAGGTGGATGACAAAAACCCGGATGCGTTGTGCATGCTAGGTGACTTGGAGCTTAAAAACGATGATTGGGTCAAGGCAAAAGATACCTTCCGTGCAGCAAAGGATGCATCTAATGGGAAGGATTCTTATGCTACTCTTTGTCTGGTAAGAACATGATTTAGAAAGCAGCACTTGTGTGATTCTCATATCATGAATTCATTCCACTACTGCTTTAGTTTCAGAAATATGAAACTAATTGTGTTTGTATCTTCAAAGTCCATCAGATAAATAATTTATGAAATCTTTGTGATGATGCCAGTTTAAGTTGCCATAACAGTTCTTTCATTATACATTTCTTTTCCATGGCCATCATTGCTATCTGATATATCCTCTTCTATGCCTATTCGATAAAAGGGGAACTGGAACTACTTTGCAGCAGTACGATCTGAGAAAAGAGCTCCTAAGTTGGAAGCTACGCATTTGGAAAAAGCCAAGGAATTATACACAAAGGTACCATAGCTTCATATGAAATAGCACAGAAGTTCACTTTTGAATTATTTCCTGACATATGATTGTAAAATATTTCTTGAATTTGAGGACAGCTTTAAAGTATGAAAAAACATAATGAGAATTTTAAATGCTTGTACGCATTATCAGCATGATAAGGGTATACTTTCAAATCATGGAAGTCCGATAGGTTTGGTGTATTCTCATTACTTGAAAGGAACTTTACATGGATATATATACAACTAAAGCAACTATTTAAGGAACACATACTACTATGCTATGAAAGTAAAACCCTATTTACTATATCTAACACTCCTCCCTCAAGTTGGAGCACACTTGATAGCATGTGTTGTAAGTTTATTATGATTAGCATGATGATCATGAACATAAGATGTCCATCCAAATAGTTTAGGAGTTGATGGAAAAAGAGTGCCTTTTGGAAGTAGAAGAAAACGGTGTTTCTCTCTTAAAGACAAATTATGACATACGGTTAATCAGATAAGTGAAAACATTTGTGGAAACATTTTTCACAAATTGGGTAATGGAATGCTGCTCTCACCTGACAGCTTGGCATATGAGGAGCCTACGTTGTTCTGTATTCACGAAGTGGCATAAATTCCGAGCAAGCTTCAGTCTTGAGGATAAGGTGAGTGATGTAATCAACAATGGTGAATGGAGATGGCCCCAAGCTTGGTTAGACTCCCAACCTACTCTCACCTATGTCATAGTCCCTACCTTATTGGAGATACCCAGGCCAGATTCACCGGACATGGCCAATTGGTCTCGTTCTCAGTCGGAGATGTTTGGAGGTAGCTCATGGTGGAAGGCCCAAAAGTCCTGTACTCCTATGGTATATGGTTTGGTTTAGCCAATTTATTCCCTGTCATGCATTCTCATTGTGGCTTGCTTTAGATAAGAAGTTGCAAACACAAGACATAATGAGCAATGGAAACGTAATCCAGTTGACATTATTTGTCCGTTTTGTACCTCCAACCGTACTTCCACTCTCATATGTTTTTCACGTGCCTATACGCCAAATAGACCGAGGGAAAATGAAGGCTTTTGGTAGACATGGAGGATGGATTTGATAGGGATGATATCATTATGCATGTGCAATCTATGCCTAAACGCAAGTTTTCCTGGAGCATCGATAGCCGGTTAGTACTAGTTGCAACAGTTTACTACATATGGCAAGAACTCAACTTTCGTTTATTCATGAGTACATTACGATCAGCTGGAGCAGTGATGAAAGTTAGGGTAGTAAGTTCTTCCACTTCTATTTGCATGATGTTGTATTGGTTAATAGCGCCATGTGGTAAGAATAAAAATCACCTGTCCCAAAAACAAACGTCTCATTCCTGTCCCACCAGTAAAATTAAGACATCAAATTTTTATTTATCTAATTCACATTCACAAACTCTCTCCTATTACCTGTACTCATGTGATTGGTGGACATGAATGAGACGTGAAAAATTGGGACATTTGATTTTTATCCATGTGGTATGGAGGATGTTTCAACCACTTCCATTAGTAACCTCCAACATGCTTGTCCTAGAAAATTGGAGCAGACATGCTTGCGGGGTGGAGTCCCACCCTTAGGTTGTAATATTTCTTTTCTTTATTCTAATAAAATTTGCTGGAGGTGCCTCAGTAAGGAGACTCTAGGATACTCTGAGGTGTTAAACCCTTTCCTGCATTCATCTTTTCGAAAATCACCTTGGTTGCTTTAATAAACTAATGGCTCATTCTTATTCTAGACATATTGGGATAAGCATTAGTTTCAATTTATGAGATGATATCATCACCGGTTCTGAAGGCCCATTAAATGCACTCTTTTTTTACGGATTGGCTAAATTTTATCCTATGCATAAATTTTCAATTGGTGTCATTGGCGAAATTGTCAAGGTCTTTGCTGTTACCCTCATAATCTTTATTAAACAACTTATCAATCAAGTCTCTCACTTTTCTTTAACGTCAACTTCTTTGACTTGCACCCTTTGATTTTCATCCTCAATGCACTTGATTTGGTTAAGTTTCCTAATCTTCAATTCCCTTATTTTGACTAGCTTGTAGCTATCCTTCCCCAGATCCTCTTTGCTAGTTTTTAAATTCCCTTACTTTGACTAGCTTGTAGACATCATTCGCCTGCTCTCTTTTTCTAGTTTTTAGTATAAACCCTTTGCCTTTTGACGTTGCTAACCAAATCAAACGGACCCAATAGATCCCACTCAAAAGTAGGTCTTTTTTTTTTTTGGGTTTTGGGGGGGGGGGGGTGTACTCAGAATTTACTTCTGCGGCCTCAAAAAGTGTATGCAGTTGTTTCCGAGATGACCCCCCGACTTGTGCAAGATCTCTAAGGCTATCATGTCCAACGTTAATTGCTCATTCCAGATCTTCCTTGACCTTCCCTGGCTCCTCACCCTCTCGACTGTCACTCTTTCTACTCTCCTTTAATCATCATGGTGCTGTCGTCCGTCTCCTATGAATGTGCGCAAACCAACACAATCTCCCCTCTCTCAGTTTATCTGTTATTGGGGAACTTCCAACTCCACCTAGAAAACCTCATTCGGGATTCTGTCTAGGATGGTCCGATCACACCACCGGTCCACCTAAGCATCCTCATTTCCGCAACTTCCAACTTCCTCTCAACGGTATTCCTTGTCACCCAACATTTTGACCAAGACAATTTAGCTGCTTGGATGACTACCCTGTAGGATTTGCCTTTCAGTTTTAATGGAACCTTCTTGTCACACAACACCCTGTGACGGTTCTCCATTTTTGCCACCCTGCTTTTTATGCGACATGGAACCTAGATACTTGAAACTGTCCTTTTGGGGTATCCTTTGCTCCCCAATGTTGACTTTTCTAGTATCTCCATACTTTTCAGTCATGTAAGCAATATTGAACCCCTTTTTGGCCTAAAACAGTTTCTTTTACGTTCTCATTCTGCCAAGTGCCCATAGTCTACTTCCTTTGTGTTCTCCAAGCACCTCCTTGGCGACGTCATAAAAGCAAGTTGCCATCTTGTTCCTGATAGTGTTAATTTCTTTCTCTATATGCCAATGCCTTTTGTCCAACTACCTTAAGGCACCTGCATTCCATCTGCCTTGATAGACCATGCTCCTGGACTTGTTTCATAACAACTCAGTATGTAGAGTCTGTATACCCTTGCTCATATCTATGTTGACCGAGATGGTGATGTAGCACGTCCCAAAAGTAGTGGTCAGCATTTTCTCTCTGACACTGGACTGCATTCATGTATAGCAAGTTACTAAAAGGCTGGTACAACCATATACATTTTGGGTCAGTTTTGTAGGAGTAACTAGTTTTAGAGTTGGCTCACAAGATCTGCAACAACATCCTCCTTTACCCTGGTTGTGGATTGGGACAGATTACTAATCTAGATAAGTGAAGTTTGTGATAAATAGAAACTGAAAGTCAAAACTTACTTGAGCTGCTTATCTGATGATGTATGGCTGGTTCATTCTGGATCTTGTCAAAGCAATTATATGTTGTGATAAAAATCATTACGATCTACCAATTTTGTAGGTCTTGGTAGAGCATCCAGCTAATATGTATGCTGCCAATGGTGCTGGTGTGGTTTTGGCAGAAAAAGGTCAATTCGATGTTGCAAAGGAACTTTTTACACAGGTTAGCTGATCTGGTTTAATGGTTGGTGATTGAAAAATTATTCATTGAGAATTTCTTCATTACCTTTGTACTTGTAGGTTCAAGAAGCGGCAAGTGGAAGTGTTTTTGTCCAAATGCCAGATGTGTGGATAAATTTAGCACATGTTCATTTCGCTCAAGGCAATTTTGCATTGGCCATCAAAATGGTACTCGGTACTTTTCCCCACATTTTGTTTGCTCTATTATCTTCTGAATGTGGTGTTAATGCCATGTTCATCTTTTGCAGTATCAAAATTGTTTGCGGAAGTTCTATTACAACACAGACAGTCAAATTCTTCTCTATCTAGCCCGTACACATTATGAAGCCGAACAGTGGCAGGACTGCAAAAAGACACTACTTAAAGCTATTCACTTGGCACCTTCAAATTACACGTTAAGATTTGACACAGGTGTTGCCTTGCAGAAGTTCTCGGCATCGACATTACAAAAAACAAAAAGGACCGTGGATGAGGTGAATATTGAAATTATATTTTTAGTTTTTGTGTGTTCTTGACCTAGCTAAGTAGCTAGGATTGAATCCACTCTCTTCAAGTTGCCTTGAGTTTGCGCTAGCTTTATGCTAGGCCTTCAATCCTAGCATAATCAATTATAGGAATCTTTGGCATTACTTCAAAAATATCTTGTCTAGTTGTGATTGAAAATCCATATATCCTTTGCCATCTTCTAATAGGTTTTTGAAGGTTGTCCTGTTCGTTTTCTCCTCCAAATTGTGGAGAGAAAGTGACTTATACATGATTTATGAGAAGGGGCTTGAGACCGCTATAATTTTCTACATACGAGGAATATAGCATTTTTATGTTATCTCTCTTTCTATCATTCATACAGAAATAGCTTAAATCTTTCCTTTTAGGTGCGTGCAACGGTTGCTGAGCTTAAAAACGCTGTTCGCTTATTTAGTCAGTTGTCTGCGGCTTCAAATCTACAGTTTCATGGGTTTGATGAGAAGAAAATTGAAACCCATGTTGGATATTGCAAGCACTTGCTTGAGGCTGCAAAAGTTCACTGTGATGCTGCTGAGCTGGAAGATCAACAAAATAAACATAGACAAGAACTTGCTCGTCAAGCAGCAATACGGGAGGAAGAGAGCCGGTTGGCTGAAGAGCAGAAAAAAGTGAAGGTCGGTTAACCTAGTTGTGCTCTATATTTCTTGAATATATGATCACTGTTTTGTGCATGTATTTATCTTGTTTCTAAAAGCAGTTAGAAAAACGAAAACAAGAGGATGAGCTGAAGAAGGTGATGCAACAGGAACAACATCTAGAGCGTATTAAGGTAAATGAACTGCAATCTTCATCGCAATATACCATATTTGAAGTAATCTTTTTCCATCATTATCTTATTGCATATACTTATAATTTTGTAAGTCATTTGTATCAAGTTTGCCAGTATTCAACCCATTAATTTGTCCAATTTCTCATTTTCTTGAGGTATATTTATGATGCCAACTCATATCTATCTATACATATGTAGCCGTTCAGGGATAATGTTAGAGGTGTCACCTTTTCCTCCACCCAATCTTACGCCGTCCATTTTTATTGACCAATTGAGAGGCATGATATTCAGGCTAAAGCTCACCCCGCATACAATCATTTACCTGACTTATGATGGCTGAGGGAAGGTTGTGCACTGCTGCACAGTAGCATTATCTATGGAGGGGTTAACAATAAAACACTCATTCCTTCATGCCATTGTCCTGATCATGAAAAGTGCAGAGTGGATGATTTTATAACTGGTAGTTATATTACTAACCATTCTACTTTCTAAAATGCAAACGTAAAACAGAACACTTTGTGAGAGTGAACGACTCCAATTATCATGCTTGTAGTTTTGTAGCAAAATAGGAATTGGAAATTGCATAAAATCAAATACTCAAGCACGATGCGTCTTCTTTATGCATTTTAGCTAGTAAAGATGGTTAGTTTGCTGCAAATCACTTGTAAGTTAATTATAGCACTCATCCCCTCGACAAGTGCATTAAAGTATAATAAATACTACACCTCTAAATAAAGGCAAGTGCCTAAATACCCCTTTTAAAAACGAAAAAAAAATGGAAGGAGCGGATTAATAGAATTAATAACAATAATAAACCACTTGTTCCTTTATCCTGTCATTTTGATCTTGAAAAGCTTGTGAAAGTAACTAACAACTACTTCCAGTGATAATTGCAATATTTGACTTTACAGATTGTATGATAGAAGTGTTTGCTATGGGTAAATGTCTAAAATATCCTCTTATAGTGGACAAATAGGGCACATTGTGGATCAAATCAAGGGCATCAATAACATGTAATAATCAACCAAACCAAATGAACCCGGTAGGTAATTTTACTAATGTAACATGTAATAGTGACAACAGATAAAAATAGGTAATGTAAGCTTGAAAATTTTCAGAAAAGAAGAGTTGCATGAGACTTCCCATTGCATTTTCCATCCATTGGAGGGAATCTGTGTTTATTGATCCACTTAAACTGCTGTATCCAACATTGATCTGTTCCTTACCTATATCTTGGCATAGCGTTGATGTAACACTCCCAACTTTCCTTTTAAGCTCTGTCTGTTAGGTTGGAACTAACCTAGACTAGGCCAGACAACAGGAATCAAGAGATTTTGATAGGCAATGAAAAGTGTGCTTCTTTGCCTTTTTTTAGTCTTTCTAACGAAGTACTTATTTGGTTTATGTTATTTTGGATGTGTTGCTTAACATAGAAATATTACCCTGTCATCATTCAGCTTGACTCTGTTGCCTTTCCAGTTACCATTCACTAGATACAGAGTGGTATTTTGCAATTCAAATCCTAGAAGTGGAATAATACTTTGTCACATAAATACAACAGAAATATGAAGGACCTTCATATTTTATTGCTATGGCTATCTTTTCATCTGATTATTTGAAAAGGTTCTATTTTGTATCAGTTTGTTTCAGAAAAAAAAGTGGAACCCATTAGGGGTGGTTTGATTTGTGGTTTCAATCAAAACTAAAACGAACCAAACCAAACAATTTACTCCCCTCATCAAGTAGATAAGACGATGGCTTTAACTGCCCTTTTCTGTATGGATTATAATGTATAGAGGTACGGCTGAGTTTCACTTGTAATCCTGCTATCATAAGAAGACGGAAGATGGATTTTAATGTATAGAGGTGTATGGTGACCCATATGTTCCAGATGTTGATTCTGCATCTACTTTCTTTAACCCTGGACTCCAATTGTCAACTTTTTACAGGAACATTGGAAGAGTAGTAGTGGCTCTAAGCGAAAAGATAGGGCTCAGGCCGAGGATGAGGAGGGCGCACAAGGTGAGAGAAGGAGAAGAAAAAGTAACAAGAAGAGAAAGAGAGACAAGAAAGCAGAAACTCACATGGATGATCAAGAAGAAACCGAAGAGGATAACACTAACACAAACTATTACGAACCAGAGAATCAAGTGAATGATCAGGTAGATGATGATGATGATAATCCACAGGACCTGCTTGCAGCTGCTGGACTTGAAGATTCTGATCTGGACGATGATGCTGTAATCTCTCTCTTTTACAGACACACGCACTGCAACACTAGTGCAGCTGTTGCTGTCAAGTCATATTATGTGATACCAACATTTTTTGTCGAATTCCTTGCTGATATTTGTTCTATTTTATGTGGTGAAGGCTGCACCTTCATCAAATACAGGCAGAAGAATACGGGGATGGTCAGAGTCTGATGAGGATGAGCCAGAAAAGAGGCAACGTAGCTCCAGTCCTGTTAGAGATAACTCTGTGGAGATGCAGCTAAGTGATGGTGAATAGTCGTAAACAACAACCCCCTCAAGTTAAACCAAATCTGAAGTTTAGATGGCTAGGTCAGTTTCTCTTACACTTGTCATCGGCAATGAGTCAGCAGTACCGTGAAGCTCAACATGTTTATAACTTCAAAAACATCGTTTCTTGTATAACCTCTGTGAAATGCAGCTAAGTGATGGAGAATTAAGGTTAATCAAATCTGGAGTTTACATTAGATTGCTCGGTCAGTTTCTCTTTCACTTGTCATCAGCAGTGATGTGAACTCAACATGTTTATAACTTCAAAATTAGTTTTCTTTTTTTCAATTTTACAACTTTTGGGTCTTATTTACTATGAATTTTTTAGTGTTCAGAAAGTCATCAGTTTTCGCTGCCCACGGTTGTTTCTACGAACTCGAAACAGACATCCCATCCGTTCAAAAAGTATACGGTACATTATCATGCATGCAACTTTCTTTTCTCGAAAAGAGAGCTTTAAGCTTAAGGTACTTGCATCACTTGTGGGGTTCCTTTTGAAGTATGATTCATAACTCAAGTGCAAGTGTTCATAACAAATCAAGTTGTTACCGGCTACTATAAATTCCCGCCTCACCTGTTCCAAGCCACTTAATGTAGGAAGTTTGACCAGAAACTTTCAGTATCGATTATAATGCTATGTTGTTAGCTAGATAAACTTGTCCATGTAATAACATAAGATTGAATCTTCTGTTTAAAACCACATTTGTGGAGCATGTGGTTTTAAAGCAAGGTGGTATGCACCAAGAACATTTACTAGGCTGATGTTTATTTTTCTCTTATTCATTTGTTTTGGCCATTTGCTGATTTCCAGCTTTTTTCACTCTATCGATAACCAAACAAGATTTCGTGTATTAGAAGTACAAATGCATTTGCATTTACATTGATTTGGTGGAATTCTAGCTTAAATTTGAGAATCGTTATCTTGGTGTTGGGTGGTAGCCTTAGAAATTTCAGGTTAATGGTTTGCATATGAATACTTGGTAATGGAATGAGGAGGTATGTGTGGAGAACTAAAAAGTACTGAAAGGCCATATGCTTTTTCTTCAAGTGCTTGAAGTTAATACTGGGAGCATCAGTGTGGAACCTCCAAGAACTTCAGAGCATCTCTAGTGGTAAAAATTATGACTTAATGAAAAGCTTGAGAATCAATTGATGAAAATGTTAACCACTGGAGCAATAACTTGAACATCCAAAAGTTTCGGAGATTAAAAGAATGTTAAGGAAAAAAATCATTGGCTTATTAAATTGTCTATTGAGCTGTGAAAAATTTCAGAGGTTTTCCCTTACTTTGATTCATGACTATATCTGCTATTTTGATATTCAAATTCAATAGAAGTGAAATTGGAACAAGTTGACCCCCGACTTACTTCACATTTGGAAATTGGAATTGCAAAAAAGAGGATCTCAGGGAAATGTATTTCCCCTTAAACTATCATCTATTTACATTTTTCCTCTTATAATCAATAATGATTCATTTATGAAATACATAAAATAAAATTATTATTATTTTTAACAAAATACATTATCGAAAGCATTTGTAAAAACAATCAAAATGAGATCAATATTGAATATTGAAAAACACAAAAAGTAAATACTTTTGTTTCTAGAAATCATAGATTTAAGTATATATTGTTTATATTTATAAAAAACTTTTGTCATTGATTGTTCCTTTGGACCCTAAACAAAAGTCAACTTTAAAACCCATAAGATGTTCGAAAGCAAATTTTATAGGAAAATTTAAGTTTTTAAGTATATAATATTTATATATGATAAATGTAATAAATAAATTTACACATCCTTCTCAATTTTTATGAGGTTTGAACCCTGACCTCCTAGGAGGCCAAATGCTACGATACCATTAGGTCAAAGACCCTTTAGTAGTTTGATATAATGTTCTTTTCTTTTAAAAATGGACGAAACCCAGAAAAAACTTTATTGAAACAAAATTTTAAATGAGCCCATTTTTACAAGAGAGAACATCTAGTTAGAAAATGTTGTACGAAAACAACCAATATAGGCCTAACAAAATGACCATTTACATTTTTAAAAATATTTACATAAAAATGATTTATTTGTCAAAGTTATAAATATTGTGCTGATGGAGATTGTCGAATACACTCTTATGCAATTTCATTCAGACATCATTATTAAAATCAATACTATCAACCCCTTGTAAAGAGGACAACTTATTCATTCAGACACAACCAAACCACCCCTTATTTAAGCACCTAATCTTATACGTATTTTTCTTTTGCCCAAAAAATATACAATAAAGAAACAATAATGGCTTTTGTAAACACAAAAACAACATAATTCAAGTCGCTATGTTACATTTTTCTATATATGTCTTCATGTTGAGATCCCAAGTATATATAGTAAAAGAGGTATGCAATTCCATGTACATCAAGCATCCATCATCCATCATCCACCATCCACCATCCACCAAACAACACTCACTTTATCATGTGTTTTTTTCCAAAGCTGATAATGCTGGCGTTAGGTAGTTATTTGCTTTATCCGGCAAATGAGCCACCTACACATAACACATACAGTGAAGATACTCGCTATATATCGTAACATATAGTGGCAGGTTCAAACGTGGACCTAAACGTTTTGCGAGAAGGCGTGATTACGCGCATGATACATAAGTTTAATCATGTATGATTAAACACATGTCGCATTGACGACATATAGACGCTTAGTCATATATGATTAAACACACCCAAAAGACCAAAGAAGTGTAATCATATATGATATTATAACTTCTTGTCTTCTCGCTACGTATAGAGTCTGATAATTTATAGTAGACTAGAGATTTATACCAGCTCATACAACTCCTTCCCTGGCTCAGCAACATATTCATAGCATACCTGTTCATCATGCCCCAATTCCAACACTCATTTGAGGTTAAAGTAAAGTAGTAAATAATAAAAATATGCTACCGACATCGAAGCTCTTGTTCCTTGCAGTCGAGTCGTGCAATGCCTTTACACATATATCAGCCACGTCGGCACAGCTGATCCCCTACAAGTAGCTTAGATTCTAATATTTAATAACCAACTATTTACATTAATAATCAAGTATGTATTAACTCTTAATTCCCACCTGAGATATCCTGTTTCCTTGGTCAAAAATTAGAGCTCGTTGTCCCCCGGGTTCTTCCTGATAAAATACAAACCAATAAGCAATGGTGAAATGCCTTGTGTTAATAGTCCAACAGGACTCAGGAACTGCTTTCTCATGTTGTAACTCAATTGATGGCTTATATTCATAAACCCACAGAAGCAATTAGCCGTGATCAACTCACCATTAACGGACCCGGCCGAATTATTGTGTATCCAAGGCCTGATCTTCTCAGGGAATCCTCTCCAGCCTGTTAGAGATCTCAACCAACTCATTAGTTAAGTTAGCTGTAAACACACAGATACCAAGAAAGAGAGAAAGAGAGAAAGAAAGAACAGACCTTCTTGGCTCTCAAAACCTGCTCCCTTCTGTTAGTTTCTATTCCCGAACCTGTACATGAGACTAAGATGAAGTCCGTTTCTTGTCCCGTCTGCAAAACAGGTTGTCATTCAAATTCTAAAATACAACTATGACATTGATACCCGACTATCCACTTTATGCAAGACGGGGGTCTTCATGGAAACAACCGCTCTACTCTTTGGGGGCAAAGGTCAAGTGCGTGTAAATCTCACCCCCAGGCCCCACCTTTGGGTGGGATATACTGGGTTCGTCTTGTTTGGTTTAGTTTCTGGTAATAAGCAAATACAACCTAAGTAGTATCTTGGGAGAAATTTTTGTTTTTATGAATTTTCAAAGTATGATTTTTAAGTAAATTCAACTCCAAATATACACGTTTATTATCACTATTCAAATTCAACGGGCATTACTTTTGAGTTTGAGTCAAAAAGTGTAGTTCTTTTCTAACAAATTCTGCTAGAAGCCAAAAATCAAAAGCCTTAGGGTTGCCAAATAGGCTCTAAATGATGCACTGGTTTTGTATGATAGTTATGGTTTTCATGCCAAAGGCACCAACCAAAAATATGTTGGCTATAAGCCTAGATTTGTGAGTATTATAAAAATAAAAAAAAGATCATTACGTAAATTATCATAACTCCGATGACCCGACACACACCAGAAACCAAAAATGTAAATAAATGTATAAAGGATATAACAGAAAAAAAGAAAGCACCAGCTCTCTTACAGAAACAACAACATGCAAAACTTTAGAAATACTTACTGGCAATGCTTTTATATATTCCAGTATCATTTGAAAGCTTCTCAAGTCCTGGTTCGTTCCAACAGGTCCTTCAGCAGGCCTCTGTCAATATAAAAATAACTCAAAACAATCAGAATTCATAGCATAATGTCTAGTTCATCTTATAAAATGAGATGACATTTATGTCTGAATCAACTTACACAGCAGATAACTCAAAGTCATATGAGTGCTTGTGTTGCTTAACCACGAATAATAAAACTATACAGATGAAAGAGAACTAGAACCAGTATAGCCTATTTCTCATCGATGGAATAATAGTTGTCACCAGCAAGCATTGAAGTATTACGAATGGGGGAGAAGAGAATAACACGGTTTTCCTTATTTGTTCCAAAAGTAATTGAAATCTTGAAGTATTTGTACAAGACACCAGGCCCAAAGAGACATACTGAGAGGCCTATAAAAGAAGACCTACAACCCCTACATGAAATGCTTGTCCCCAGAGGCAGAAGGGGCCGAGAAGGAACCGTCACTGAGAGTGGGTAAAAGGCTCAGCAACCAAAATAAACCCATTAGGGACGAAAGGGCTATGAGAACAACAAACCCCAAAGAGTGAAAGGGACAGTAATGAGTCCCAAGGGTGCTATCAGACACTTGTCGGGTGTGCACAAATGGTTTGTAAAAGGAGGTAAAAATATATGGCCAATGACTCTTGACACGTAGATAATTTTACACACCATCTTATCAGTCTATACACAAAGCTTTATCTCTATCGTTTGGGGCCAACTCTCATGACTGTATTAATTGCTTTATAGGTCGCTAGTGACTGGAATGGAGAGACGAGCCGGCATCATTAGTATTTATACTAAATCCATAAGTATAAGGCTTTCTCAGAAAATTCCTCTTGCCAAAAGGGGTACCAATGTTACCGCCCATCCACCCAAAGGACTTGCAACAGTATGGATGTGATGTTTCTTCAAAATGTGCCCTGTCATCTCAATAATCATCAATGTTCCAAGAAAGACAACTCGATTTAGTAATTTTGACTAGAGAGTTTACGATTGAATATCACTGAGCCCACAGATTTTATCATGAAATGGAGGTAGCATGATCTAGCAGAGGTAATTTGGCTTCACAACAGAAGTTATGATTAACTTACTAAAGGAGAGAGGTATGTTTGGTTGTAAACCATCTAAAATTCCAATGGATCCAATCACAAGATTAGTTCAAAAGGATATTTAACTAAATTCGACAGAGGGAGATGTCAGAAGTTAATGGGGAGCTTGATATACTCGTCTCATGAAATCATACATAAGACTTTTTGTTTGCATGGTTAGCCAACGTACGAACAGCTGTACAGAAGAACATTTAAACATATGTTTATGATTCTGCTACGCATGTTGTAAGGGATGATATTTATGTCATGTTTATGTGTTATGTTAAGATGTCATGCTCTACTGGGAATAGGAAGACGAAGCTTCACACTGGGTATCATTGGGGAACTGGCAACCCAACTATTCAACATGTCTACTTCAGCAAGGATGTGAAGGAAATACTTCCTCTATCCTTTCTGAGATCTCACCACCTTAATACCTACAAAGTGTCAGTCTTGGAATCCTTGCAGATAAAGAACAGTTGAGATTTCCCATAAGCATCATCACTCTGTGATCACAAATCACAATTGCAGCTACACATAATGCCAACCGGCAATCATAAGGCCATTTCTCTTACGGAAGAACACGAAATAAGCATAGGCATTGCAAGTCACCCAAAGGGTCTCAATTTGTTGATTAAGCATATCCCGTCTCCTAATTACTTGTTGTCAATATTCTTCTCCCTGTTTATTCCCTTTAATTAGGATCGTAATTATCTTTAGGATTCTTATTACCTTGTATTTACGCTAGCACATGTATGTATATATGTATATACCCCCCCCCCCAATGTTGATAATAAAATCGAGTTCTTCATTGAACTACATTCTTTCCTCTGGTTATCAGAGCATTGATCCATTTTCTCTACTACCCACTTAAAAAAAACACGGGTCTCTACTCCCATTTCTCCGTGGCATCAACTGAAAATCAATTCATCATTCCTAATCTGAACGAACCAACCAAGCCTTTCATTTTCATCTCGCTCTCCCTTATTCTTAAAATTAACCCAACCAACTACATCTCCTGGGAAACCCACCTAGAAGCTACACTACTTGGTCATGACTTACATAAGTTCACCCATGGTTCCTGTCTCGTGCTTCACAAACCATCACCAATGGAATAATTTGTGAAGTACTTATCCATCTTCCCCTGTCCCCAGTGAAAGAAATAATTTGTGAAGTCATGTACTAAATGTAAGAATGAGATGAAGTTTGATAACACACAGGAAAACGATGACTTTTAGGACGTAACATAACACTGAATTGTTAGTATTGAAAACAAACCTGTCTTCTTGGTTCAAAGCGTATGGTCAAGGTGTGTATAAGGAATGGATCCAATGGTGGATCAGCAGGATTCACTGGCCGAAACGAAGTAAATGGTACTCTTACCTATCAAGAAAAATATGAGAAAATGTGGAGGTAAGATTCCCACCTGTCAAAAGCAGAAAAGTTAAATAAGACTGTTAAATGGCACATAACCGTTGACCAAGCATTTATCAGTTGAAGAATTAGACTGCTCACCCTGCAAAACCCTACTTTTGTGCTAATTCTAGAAAAATACAGATTGCTCTGGCTTGTGTCAGCTGAAGGACCAGATTCAAGGATTAAAACATAGGACCTTCCATTCCCCCCTACAGAAAGTACGAGACCTTCATACCTGAAGTTGAGAGACTAGACTTAACGGTTGATTCAAGAGTAAAAATATTGGAAGGTCTATATTCCTGCAAGCATAATTTGGTGAGAAACCTGGACCATGAGCTATTTGAGAAATACCTGTCCAACGTGCTACCAAGAGGAAGTGATAGCTTGGTTGACAGTTCCACATATCCTCCTCGTGTAAAAACATAACCTATTTACATAGCAAAGAGTAAGGCTTGACAGAGAAATTTGATCATTGAACTCTTTAACATCAATCATCTACCTACGTTATGCAGAAATGTAGTCAAGAAGATGTTATGGGCCTAAAGCTGTTCCATTCACAACAGGAAACCTTTCACCACTAAGAAGACTTGGGGTATTTAGCAGGCTTCTAGAAATAATTACCTGAAAAAACTGCTTCTCCGCTTTCGCTGAACTCAAGTTTAGCATCCATTCCTCCATCATATTTAGCAGCAACTGCATCCTGGAAATAAGTTCCTTTGCGGACATCCCACCCTTTCAAGGAATCTGCAGACTTGAACTTTGCAAGTAGAAGCTTGCTTTTACTGCTTTTTCCAGCTCGCAATTGCGCTAGCTTGTTGTTGTAGTCCTGAAACCAGCCGCATAATAATAAGCATATGTGGCATCGCAAAAGACTAATGAGCAACTTGAAAGAAAAACAGCACCACAGCTATGGAAACTCAGTCGACTGAATCTACATTGAAACAAGAATCAGGTCTATGGTAATGGCAGCTGAGCAGAATAAGTGCCGTATAACAACGGTATACATTTGAAATTTGCAAGCTTCATTAAGAAAACACATGGTATCTTAAGAATTAGCACCAATGGCATAATTTTGAAGCTGCAGAAAGAAAAAAGAAAACCTGAAAGGCTTTGCTGAGGTTGTATACACCCTGATGATCAACTCTGTTGAGATCCACAGTTATAGAGGATCGAGCAGTGGCACAATAGATAATCTTGTTGCAGCCTTCTACAGCAACCCTGAGAGTGGCAGGATCTCCAACGTCCCCAATCACAACCTTAACAGAAGTTGGTAGCATGTCCACAACTTCTTGATCTGCATTCCTAACTAGAGCCTAATCAGAAGAGTAATCAGGTTAAATTAGCTTGACGTCAGATATACTGCAATGAAAACATAAGATAAGGTTCCTAGTCTGCAAGTGGATGTGGCTTTGCAAGGGTTAGGGATGAAAGTCCTTTTAGGCAACATTTTTTTTTGCATTTGCAAGGACTCTGTTTTCTTCCACGAAGGAGTTGCCTACAAACAATTGTGGCACAGAGTTTATCAGGGCTGATTTCTTGCCGTCACGGTTTGCTGGGATTAGTCTGGTCATAGTCTGGGACACCCTTCAAAAAAGGAAAAAAAAAAGGAGTTGCCTACAAATAGCTCAAAGTCTTTCGTATATAATCCAGCAAGCGAATTATGAATCAAATTTGCAACTTGGAATGTGAGTGAGATTGTTAATTTCATAGCATCGAAATCAATGTAACGGGCCACGAGGTCCTTGCCATCAGCCAAAACCACTGGAAGATAGAACTTCCCATGGATAGCTAGAGAATAGTAACCACCATTACATCACCTAACTTGGAAAATGTTTGTATGTGTTTTGACTGTAAACCAATTCCTTCCATGGGGATTAAATATGATCGAGTCCAATTTCTAAGTAGGGGAAAAACCTTGACCGAGTAGCCCCTGAGCATGAGTTTGCGGACAACAATACGACCAACACGACTGGTCGCACCAACCACGAGAACAGTGGTGTTCTGAGCCCCCGGAATTGCAAATTCGCACATAGGACCACCCTCCTGAATAAAAAGGCTCTTCTCGTCGTTTATGCGGGTGGTCCTAGAGATCTGTCCCAATTCAGAAAACTTGCGCCATGCCTCATCAAATATTTGTCGGGATCGTCTCCCTAATCCAACCGGATTCACGTCGACCAGCCTCTTCATCACAGAGACGGATGAAGGATTCTGATCGTCGCCTTGTACGTCATCATCAATACCATCCTCCTTGTCATCACCTTGATCCTGTGGTTTCTTATCGGGAGGGGGAGGAGATGAAAAAGACGCCCTTGAGAATACCAAGCGTCTACGAGGATGGGTCGTGGTAGCAGCACTCCAAAAATTGAAACCGCTAGAGGTGGTGACGGTGTTATTGAGGGCGAAATCGTTGGCAACTTTGATATGAGAAGAAACTTTACCACCGCCGATACCGGAGGTAGTAGTGGAGGTGAGTGCAGCAGTTGCAGTAGTCATTTTGTTAGCTTATCTGATGGTGCTTCCATGCCTTTTGTGGATTTGCAGTTGCAGTATAGCTTAGCAGCCAGGTCAGCAGCAGAAACTCCAGCCACATAATAATAAGGAAGAAGATGAAGGTTGGAAAGGTACAGCAATTTGCCACGTACAGATGCTTAACTTCACTCCTATTCTCTAAATCCAAATCTTTAGTCAACTTCTTTTAAATACCACCAAATTTGTAAAAAAGTAAAAATGCTCTCCACATGTATATGTATATGTCTATAAATATATAAAGGGGTGTTTAAGATTGTTTATAAAAATAATTTATTGACTTATTTTGGTGTGACACCGATAATAAATACTTTTGAATGTTTGGATAAATAACTTATACCAATACCAAATCGGTAATAAGAATGTTTTGAAAAAGTTAAACCATTCTAACTTATAATACATTGATAAAGACTTTTATCAAATAGTATATGTTGTTTCAGATAAGCAATCCACCCCCTAAAAGACCAAAACCAACTTGCATGTATTTATGGGTATAACATCCAGATTAATGGTTGTTACCAGGTGTTCCTTGATTTTTTTTTTTTATTTTTTGGAGCATTTTTTAATAACTAACTAATAACATACCGTGCGTGTTGTCGCACAAATGATTTCGATTGTGAAGTTGAGAAGCCGAAACGACAATCTTTGTCTCAAGTATTTTTAATCCATATCATTTATTATTATTGCTATATTTTTTTTAGGTATTCATGATATTTAATAATACGATTAAATTCAAAAATATTAAATATTGAGCTCATTTGCAAGGTATCGACGAGATGATTATAATGATATAACTTGTAAAAAATAGTTCGATAAAGTATTTTTAATCCATATTAGTGATTGTTATTGCTATAAGACAAATTAATTCGTAAGTATTCATGATATTTAATAGTTTGATTAAATTAAAAAAAATCAATATTCAGCTTATTTTCAAGGTATTGATTAGATTATTATAATGATATAATTGTAAAAAAATAAATGTATTTTTTAAATACATTTTAATTAATATACAATTATTTATGTTAATAAGATAAAAGTATAAAATAAACAAAGGACTTTAATGGTTATTTGTCTACATTTAAAAAAACAAAGAACTTTAATGTATTCTTAAAATAAAAGTAATTTAAAATGTATTTTAACTTGATTCATATTTTACGTAATGTATTTTCAAAACTTTTATTTTGATACTTAAGATGTAAAGTTTTAAACATTTAAATAACCAGGTAACCGGTTGAAAACTAATTTTAGATTAAAAAAGACTAATTTTAGATTACAAAAATTAATGTCAGTAAATAATACTGAGTTGGATATCACATCACTCGTCACATAACATGATAACCGGTTAATGCTTCAACTGGTTATCCGGGTACTTAAATGTTTAAAAGTTTACATCTTAGGTATCAAAATGAAAGTTTTGAAAATACGTTACCCAAAATATGAATGAAGTTAAGGTACATTATTTTTTCATGTAAATTGCCTTAAAATAAAACACTTATTTTTAGTTAAAAGCTATCATTATTAATTAATATAACAAGGTATAAAATGAAAAATTAAAATGAAATGAAAAAATGAAAAAGGTAGAAAAGACCAAAAAGAAAAAAAAAAGACAAACCAAAGGAACAAAAATTGTAAACTCTATAATCTAATAAAACATAAAACAAGACAAAAAAGAAAGTAAAAGGACCAAAATACTCTTAAATTTATTAACATTTTAACTAGAGTTAGTTATAAGGACCAAAAGTGTCACAAAATGATAATCACAGTGACCAAAACTGTAATTGGTTTAAAATAGGGACCAAATGATAAGAGATAACAACCACAAGGACCAAAAATGTAATTTACTCAACTTAGGGGGTTGTTATTAAAACCTTTGGATTTAGGAACGAACCAAAATAAAAAGAAACAAAAAAAAAAACCAGTGGTTCTGTTGCTGTAGGAGACATTATTATTCGTGAACGTGGGCTTCGGATTGTTTGTTTCGGAAGCTTATCAAATAAGGTCTCTATCTTTAGGGTTCCATCTTACAAAAATATAATGGTTCAAGAGATTCGATAAACCTTTAGATTAATTACAGAAATCGTGGAGTTTTAGCAGTAGATCCGAGATTGGGTTGAAGTCTTGGTTCATGTTTTTAAAGACTTGTTGAAGAAATCTGATGGAATTTTCGTTTGCAATTTTTATATGTGAAGTAAGGTACGATTCTTTATGTCTACCTCCTGTGTGTTTATTGATCCACGGATTTTTAATTCCAATTGCGTTATTTGATTCAATGGATGTGTACGTTTCCTTGTTTTTCTTTCTATTAGTTCCGTTCGATTTCGTGAATAATGTGTTCTTACTTCCGCCAAAGTTATTTTGTGTTTTGGTTCGATCAGTGGATCGTTTGAGTGTGTGTATTCTTGGGTGAGTCTTCTTTTGATTTTACATGTAATAAGATATTTGAATATGCTAGAAACATCGAACTCTATATATAAATCTGCTAACTTTCACTATGAAAATTTATTGTTATCTGTAAAAATCATAACAAATCATTAGTTCATACAGTATGTTTTTGAAAAACTGGAGATGCATGCTATGAAATTTTATGACAAAAGCAAACTGTGATATATTAATGCTAAGGTATCTAAAATCTGGTCTTTCCAAAACTGGTCTCGTTCTAGACAGGAACATCCCAATGATTTTCAGAAATTCAAATAAAATATATTTTATACCCAATTCAATTGGTTCTTGATTCATTGGAATGACAAGACATTTATCTAAAACTTTTGTTTAGATATACTCTTCTAAAACCTACTTGAAGTGTGAGAAGATGTTGCAGTCTTAAACATGTGAAGTGCTGAAACAAGTGTCGTCCGATTTAGAAAAGTTATGAGTGGGAAATTCCGAGTCTACTTTTGGATTTGATTTACTTTATGTTTTTGGTTTTATATCTTTTGTAAGAGTTCATAGATGAAGTTACGTTAATGGTTTACTAACTCGTATGGTCGTACCAGTTAAACTCCTTTTCAATTTGTAAATCCTTCCATAAATTGTGTTCTAAAATATAAAGCTTTAAGGGGAATAGTCGATATTCTTGTTTAGTCAAATGCCTCATGACTTGTTTTGTAATTAGAACAATTTGTTATTCATCTTAGTTTGATCGCATGTGACGTGACGTACTTTCGTAGTTTATGCGTTAGGGTATCGAGCTACTAACCACCTGTGGTGGTACCATATGCACGTCATTGTGGCGATGACATGACACCATCCGTGGCGGTTTGATCAACCCACGACGTCTCCTTTTGATTTGTGCTTTGGTGAGAGCTAGCCTTGGTGTGACGGAGATTTTTGTAGGAGGCGTATGGGTAGGTCCTAGCATATTTGATAGGTTTGTAGAGTGGATGGTGACGTAGTGTTCAACACTGCGTCTCACGTTATTAGTATAGTTGGATGTGCACGCCCAGAATACATGCCTGTGTGGCTTATGTCTGGCACATTGTATCTGTTTATGTGTGACATGAAATGCAAGCGTATGCAGTTACTTGTTCGAGCTTGGTACACAATCCCATATGATTTTGATTTAATTTCGTATTCCTTTGGTATGTATTGACAAGTTTTGATCTTTGACAAGATTTGTTCTTGTGAAACAATGAATTTGGATATATTCATTTTCTAATGGCTTGATTAAGCATGTTAAAATCGAGTTGTTCGGCCTAACTTCTTTTAGTTCCATTTCCTTTGTTTGTGGGTATTTCCTTATGTTGTTGTTGAAGTTGGATGTGGTATATGTTATACTCAATCTAGCTTTCATGTACACTTGGCAATTCGAGTTTCGTCTTTAAAGTATGTTCGTTGCCCAAATTCAGATTTTTGTATTAATTGGTGTCTGGTTCGAGTGTTTGTTTGTTATCTATTATATCCGGGGCACTGAGCATATGGCTGAGCCGCCTTTCTTTCTTTGCCGCAGGTGTTCAAGGGGAAACTAAGGAGTAAGGGATTCAAAGTGTCCTCATATCTAAGAGGTTTTTTTGATAAGAATTTGTAGGTTTATTGTTGTTATGGAGCAAGTATTGGAAGAAAAAAAATGTACCGTTCGAGACAAATATTATATTTGAGAGTGTTTCTTTTAATTATGGTTTCATAGTGCCTTGTATGCTTTTGTTGGCAGTTTGTTTTAAGTTCAAAGGTAACCTCCTTTTCCATCTCGGGAAGGGGGTGTTACAATCTTGATGTGAATGATGATTGCATGATTAGTGTTTGGTGCAAAGCAAATTCATGATAAATCTGACCGGGGAGAGTGTGAGAGACTAACTACAGTGAGAACTGAAAGTAAGTCTAGCAACTAAACGCTATTTTATACTAGAAACTACAAGAAACACATCCCAGTAGGTATGCTAGCATCTATCAAAAGTAACCAACACAGCTAACTAACTTCCCCCATGAAAAACTAATTCTAGTGATGAACTAGAATATATTGATTTTAGTTAATGGCGTTGTACTTGTCCCATTAGTTCTTTTTTTTTTTTTGGTGACTTTATTCATTCCCATTCTATATTACTAATAAGTTTCAGATAAAGGAACTCTGCACATTTCTTTACTAATAAGTTTTGGATGAATAAACTCTGCACATTAGCTAATGGAACATAGTTTAAGATAACCTGGTCAAATGTCAATTTAACATGGACATAAAAAATGTCAAAGCGACTTAGTAAGGGATACAGATACCGTTTGATTTGTTGACACAATGGTAGTTCAAGCATGACTGTAATCAATATACGAGATTCATATCTTTTACTTTGTGGATTGTACTGGGTTGCGTGGTTTATAACTATGCTGATTATGTGTTGAACAATGTGAACTGTTGAAATTTTTGTATTCGCTTATTCAAGTTTCTACTCAGCACACTAACCTTTTATGGACAGTTCTTGTACTGCTTGGTATCTCAAGACTCTGCTATTACCGAGTCCTTGGTAATGAATGCAGAAGAGAAACTGGTGCAACCTGATATTATAAAGGAACAGGTATTTCTTTGTACGTTGTCATTTAATGCGTGAACAAACTTTTTTCCCCCATTGATTCTAGATGGAGCATATAAATGATAATTGGCATTGGTTATCCCATATTTGTCTCTTTCATTCATAAATGAGATGTTGGCTTGTCCTAATAATTCTCAGGATGCTGCAATCAGCTATTCAAGGGATAGTCCTAGTCACTCAGGAACCTTCAATGTGGCTGGAGATCTCACTGTCTATCCACCCAATATTTGTGCCCCCCTAGCACATACAATGTACTATAAAGGTCTCTTTCAATTATTTTTCAGCTGTCAGTTCTTGGAGATACTTTTTGATATTCAGAATATAGATTTTTTATACTAATAGATCTTTTCCGTATTGGTAAGTGCATCACGAAAACAACCACACTACTCTTTGGGGTAGAGGTCCAATATGCGTACATCTTATCCCCACCAGACCCCACCTCGGGGTGGGATATAGTGGGCTCACTTGGTTTTGTTTTATTGGTAAATGTGAATTCTAAGTGCAGTAAGCATGCTTTTATCTATTAATAGAGTGTTGAATGCATATAAAAGATTTAATATTTATTTCAGATGTTCATTTATATCCAAGATACTGTTATATCTATGTTTGTGTAATGGTTGGTTCCTGGATTTTGCATGACAGTCTCCATTAACTTTGAAATAATGCTAGATGTTCAATGTAAGTATGGCAAATAAAATCATCTTTTGTGGCAGTAGTATTACTATCTTGTACCTCTGTAATATTGGTGTATCTTTTTGTTGTAATAAATATAGTCATGCCATCTCTTCTCCATATTGGCCATATACCTGGTCAAGTCCAAGGCTTTTGAGGCAGTTGAAAGTTGAAATGATTATAATGTTTGTAGGTTATCTACTGAAGGGACGAGCTTCTGTAAACAACTATAGTTATTTGGGAATCTTATAAAACTAGGGAAAAGTTCTACCATCTGAGATTTTTACAAAGCCAAATATATTCGAAAATTGTTTGCATTTTTTTCTTGTGAGTATTTGATCTGTGTGTTTATTTCTTATGATATCTATCAGGTTAGAGTTAGGGCATGATGAATGTGAAAACGTGTTATGTGGTTTCTTTGAGATATGAGTTCATTAGGTGATGTAAGAAGTACCAACTAATAGACCATTTAGAGTTAATTTGATATATAGTCGGCTTTTCGTCTGTCATCTTCTCCAGATTTAGTTGATTCAGGAGGGAACAGATTTTTGTCATGTCAATAACACTGCATACAATGATTTCTCATGCGGCTGCTGTTTCTTTTAGCATGCCATGTGTAATAGGGTTTCCTGGGAGCAAATTGTATCCCAACGGTGGAACTAATTGTATTCTAATTTCAGCATGACGTCCCCCCCCCCCTCCTTTCAAGAATCAACTAAAGAACCATTTTGTGCAACTTCAGGTTTTGAAAATGCCTCTGGTAAATGGGATGAATACTCTCCATTCATTAACACCGAAACACTGGATACTGCTGGATCTCCTGTAAGTTTGGTGCTTGCCTGCACATCTATTTCCTAGTTATAGGTCCCTTGGATTTACTTACTTTTATGTACTTCTTTAGACCATGTATACAGACAATTCCCTTGTGTTTCACACGGGTTATGGCTACAATTCACAAATGCCGTATGGTCCATATTCTCCGGTCACCACACCTCTCCCTTCTGTGGGTGGCGATGCTCAGTTATACTCCACTCAGCAATATACATTCCCTGGATCACCATATTATCAGCATCCTGGTCCTCCTACCCTGCCATATATTACTTCGCCAACTCCAGTTTCACAGCCAGAGTTGAACTCTTTGGTGAGCAGTGAACATGTTGATGGAGTGCTGTATGGTCCAAGACCTGGTTATTCATCACCACTAGGTTCTCTTGGCAGAGGCAATTTTTCTGTAAATCCTTCTGGGAGACTTGGTTTTCAGGATTCACAGCAGAATATGGATGCACTCAGAACTAGAGGCCTTTGGTCAGACTGGCCAGGACAATCAGATAGACAGAGATCATTTGTGCCAGTATCGCCGTCCGTATCTCCTCAAGCAATTAGCAGTTTTGGCTCCTTCCAGCAGAACTTTGGATCGGTTTGTATTTAACTTCATTCATCTATACAATTATTGAACCTGTTGATTATTATTTATTGTCATATATAGGATATAGATAAAGGCGAACCTTGAAGCATTGGTAAGTTTACTCCTTTATGATCCAAATTTCAAAGGTTATGGGTTTGAGTTTGAGTGATGGGAGCCTCTTTGAAAATTGCAAGGGAAAGACCACATGCAATGGACTATACCCATTTGTGTGAAGGCATCTTTACAGTTATCTGCTAGCTCTGTCCAGCCTGGGTTAGCAATATAAAGTGCGACTAAAAGTTTACTTTAGAGGCAACACACGAAAGAACAATTTATATGGAGGAATAACTAAAGAACAAGAAGGAGCCTTGGTGCATCAGGATTGCCATCTTTTATCTATAGGACACCTATCTAGATTCATTGTCCCATGATCAACTAATGTACAATGCACTATAATTGGTAGAAAAGGTTACGTGGTTCTATAAAAACCCATTCTGATTAAAAGCTGACAGGAAAAAATAAAATCCATTGCAATGAACTTCACATAAGTTTTATTATCTAAATTGTGTGTCTCTCTTATCCTAAGTAACGGAGTCCCTAAATGTTGCTAAAAAGATTAATGAGTATATTTGTTTATTCTTAGAATTTTGAGACAAATAAAATGGAGTATTGGTACACACCACACACCACCACAACTTATCTATCTATGTGCAACATACACAACATTGCTCCCAATCATACCCTCTCTCCTATCTCTCTCTCTCTCTCTATATATATATATATATATATTTTGTTTTTTCTATGAATCCTACCCTACATTATTATGAATGTTTTTTTAATGTTCTCTCTCATGTTTATGGGCAGTTCATTCTTGAGGCAAAAGGTAGAATTTATGGTAGACATTGCCATGTAACAGTCTAGACATGGGAATAGGAAATTCCTTTTTGTATATTCCTTGTATCAAAACTGAGACATGTTTATAGTGGAAAAACAAAATAAAATCTAATCCCACAAAAGGAAAGGATATACAATTATACAATCAAATCTCTACAAAATCTAATGTTCAGGAAATTCTTTAGTGCCCTCATTTCTCTAATAATGTTCCCTTTCTTTCTTCTTGAATACACCCATAGTTCACTTGTTGGAGCTTTGGGAACAATAGTTTTGGGATCTTTAGAGTAGAAACTTTGTTTTTAGCAGAGTCATCACTCATCATTAGATTTTTCCTGGTTTGATTCAAATAATTTATTTCCAAATCGATGGTGGTTTGAAAAATAGGGGTAGGGATACCATGATTTCATGAGTTTCCTGTAACTGAGCTTCACATGCTTTCTCCTCCCCGAAAGCAGTTTTGAAAAAATGTTTATTTTCAAATTATATAACATCCCTATTTACAAGTATTTTTCTTGAGCTAGGGTCAAGACATTTATAACCTTTGAGTTGGTGATATTCTAAAAACACATTTAGCTCTATGGTCTAATTTACTTCTTTTGTGGTCATGAATGTGAACTAACACAATGCAACCAAAAACTTTAGAGGTAAATTAACTTCTGTTTTTAGGAAAACAAGATTGAAGAGTTTGGATGGGGTTCTATAGAACAGGGTTGGCTGTTCACGGCCTAGTTTATGAAACTTCCTATTTGTGAAAAAGAACCTATCCAATTTTTACAGTGCGATGGTTGGCTGTTCATGGCCTAGCTGTAATTCATCTGTAATTCTTCGATTCTTCGAGGTCAGTTTTCAATTTTGAGGCGTATCTATACAAGAACTATTATGGATGATGCCTTCTTCAGTAAGGAATTGCCTGAAAATGCTATTGAAGTATTCGTTACCGCTATTAGCATGAAAAAACCTGAATTTGGGTTTTGTGATTGTGTTTTGATCATGGATGAAAGTCTTTGAACTATGTGCACATTCAGATTGTTCTTCAATAAATATGTCCAGGGATTTTTAGTATGATCATCAATAAAGGTGATGAACCATCATGTGCCTAAGATATTTTTTACACAAGATGGTCCCCATATGTCAGTATATAAGCGAAAAAGTTTTGAAGCTAGTGAAAACACATCTTCTATGTTTAGCCAATTGACTACATTGTAAGAAATTGATGTTTTCATCTATACTATGTTATAAATCATTTCAGTGGCGGAACAGTGATGGTCAACTGCCTTTTACCTGAAAATGTAGTGATATTTTTGTAACCTTCATGTTTATATTGTTCAGACATCTCAGCAGCCGCCGTCTTTCTATGGGTTTGGATCTGGAGCAAGCTCTTACGATAGTGGCTATCTGAACAGTGGTCTCAATCCTGGCCTTGGCTTTGGGAATTCATCAATCTCCAATATAGGAACAGATGGTAGAGGGTGGGCTTCTCTTGACAACGGCAGAAGACGTGGTAGGGGTAATGGTCCTCTTTGCAGTTGTAGCGGAACTCTTGATATTCTTAGTGAGCAAAACCGTGGACCAAGGGCCTCAAGACCAAAAGGTCTGTTGGCAAGTGAAAACAATCCTCCAGCTGGTGGTAATAAAAGCACCTTATCCTATCTCAAGACCATTGATGCATCCTATAATCTCCCAGATTGTGTCTCAGACTCAGAGTATAGTGATGCTAAGTTTTTCATCATCAAATCTTACAGTGAAGATAATGTCCACAAAAGCATCAAATACAGTATTTGGGCCAGCACATCTAATGGAAATAGGAAATTAGATGCTGCATATCGTGAAGCAAAGGAGAAGCAATCTGCTGTTCGCATATTTCTTTTTTTCTCGGTGAGTTAACTGGCCCTTGGTAATAAACATCTCCAACCTCCCTCTTTCCTCCACACCCCTCCCCCCCAAAAAAAAGGATTCACAGAGACTTACATAACAATTGATCAACTTATATGGTATATCAGTATACAACATGAGTAGTTTCATTATCCAGGTCTACGCAATTGTTACAACTGAGTACAAACTTGAATGTTTCGTTTTGACTATTCCCTCTGACTTTCTTTTTTAGTTTTGAAAAAATTGAGTTTCGAGTACATCAACCAGCAGTTTTTTTCTGGTCTTCATTGATTGTTATAAGTGAGTGATAGTTGCATCGTGGATGTTCTTCTGGTTGCTATTTAACACGTGTACAATCAAGCTTTGAGTATATTTGAAAATTTAATCGGGATTAGGAATAACTGTCTACTTCTATTTGTCTCTTTTATGCAAAATCCATATTTCCTACTCTATTTCAAGCTTATGATCACTACTGAAGTGTGTGGATTTTTTATAAGCTGAGGAGCCATTAGTGTTGATCTCAAGCTAAGATTGTACCATCCATACGACTTGCTTCAATTTTCTTTAATTTGCTATAAACCCACTTATTAGTTACTTGCCTAGAAATGTTCAATTTTCATGGTTTAGAAGTTTGCTGGATTTATTTGTTCACCTGGAGACATGGAAACAACCTCTTGCAAAAATACCGGGTAATGATTGTGTACATAGACTTCTCTCCCATATGCTCACAAAGCTTATGCACCATACTTGCCACCTTATGCCATTGTAATTGACTAGACTTGCCTTAAATTGTTGAGGCTAAAAAATGTTTGCCTTTTATTTTGTATTTGGTTAGTTTTTGCGTGGTGCTCAGAACTTAATGGTGCCTAATGATATTTTGACAACCATGGAAATGTTTTCCTGCAGGTTAGTCTTTACCATGCAACAAGTGAAGTTCTACATTGTCATTATGGAAAAAATCGCTTAGCTTTGAATTTTGAGATCAATATGTGTTGAAAAAAAGTTGGATGATAATGAAACTATCTGAATACACTGTAAAGAAATTTGGAATAGAATTCATTGAAATTGAATGTAGTTTACAACCTAAGATTTAAAGGAAGGAGCCCGATGATCTATCCCCCATAATTTGCAACCAATCCTACAAAATAGTAACTACTACCTAACCTTCTTCAATACCACAAGAAACAACTATCCTATATTTATTTACATGAAAAACTCGCATATTCCCATGCTTCCCCTCATCTTTTATTGTATATGTTATATAAACCTACCATGGAAATCAAATTGGCAAAACTATTTCTAGGAAGGGCTTTGGTGAGGATAATTGCAACCTGTAGTTTTGTAGGAACATAGTTGAGTTAAATGACCCTAGTGTTGACTTTCTCGGATGTGAAATGACGATCGTTTTCGTTGTGCTTTTTTTGTCATGGTGCGCATGATTCTTAGTTATGCTGATTGTCGCTCAACTATTGTAAACATCTTCACAAAAGGTTGGATTTGTGCTGTGAGTTTCTTTGGAAGTTGTTGCAGCCAAAAGAGCCAATGCTATACTTGGATTTAACACTGCCATAAGAAATAAAAACTTGTATCTCACTCCAACAAGTGACTAGATTTCCCAAACATAGGACATTTGGGTCGTTATAGTAGTTGTGCTCATAGTCCTTGCAATAGAAGCATCATATCTTCTTATACTTGCCCTTTTCAAAACATTTTGGCACTAGAAGTTGCAAATACAGATATGTTTGTCCCAGGAAGGTGATAGTTACTCTAGTACATTTCTTGAGTAAGGTGATATGTGAATGCCAAGATTGAGATGTTGCATCATGTCCATTTTAGTGTGCTTCTCTTCAACTTTAACATCTAGAGTTAGAGGGACAGAACTCAAAGCTCCTTCAACAACTTAGATGGCCTCATGTACTAAGTGAGATATGAGTGCTCGCATCTAAATTAGGATTCAAATAGAGTACTAATGGGATGAGAAATTCTTGGCCAAGAAGGAAGACTACTAGCGCTTCCACATCTTTGTGGTAGGGTAGTTTTGGACGAGACTTGTAGTTCCATTGCATTCTATAGGGCCATTAGGGTTCCACTATCATTGAGCTTTCATTCCTGGGTTTTAGGGGTTGGAGGGTCCTGGCTCTCAAATAATCATATCATTGTCCAAGCTGTTTTGAGCAAACATGTTCGATATATGTGTAATACGTCGAGTTCAGTTTAATTGAATATTCAAAGCAGCATAACAGTTAATTGTACCTGAGATTGTAACGTCACTAAACTTTGATTCTTGAGCTGGAACTTCGTATTACATGATGAATTTTTATTAAAATCCGAAACAAGACTTCAGAATGAACAAATTGATTCAGGCAATAGTATTGAATATTCATTTTTTTCATTCAAGAAGTAGAAGTTCGACTGCCTTCTAATTTCTGGCAGCTATAAACCCTCGAGCAGGTGATGCTTCTGGATTAGTAGCACTAGAATAGGCAAGCAGGACAGCCGCACAGCAGAGGGGGAGGCAGCGGTGGCATGGCTAGGGTTTCATTACACCGCAGACAACGATACAACTAGGTTTCTGTTGCACTAAAAGAGGGCGGCAGCAGCTTAATGTTTCATTGCCTGATAATGGTGTGGCGTTTACTGGCAGTAGCTTGGAATTTATTTTTTTTCCTATCTATATTCATCGTGAGGTAATCACCAGAACATGTATAAAATGTTAGGCCTAAACAAGGAAACTAAATCTATCTAATTGGCAACCTATAATTACGATATTATCTAAAATGACTGTATAATTAGAAGATATCTAATACTGACAACCTATATTAATATATATCTAACATTTTACCTATAATTACAATATATTTAAGAGTCTACAGGGTCTATCACTGCACTTTGGTCTCTGTATAGTTCTCTCTTTTATGTTATTGGGTACCGACTAGAAGTATAAGTTAGCATGTTAAGCAGCGTAGACCGGTAATCATATCTATTGTCATCAACAAGAGTATTATGCAAGTCTAGTTGATTTTAAGTGCATACTCGTATTTTTCTTTGGATTACTTTGCTGCATATCGTTTTCCTTATACCAGAGTTCTATCTTATATGCCACCTCCACTGGAGCGGCAAAATGATTATGTTTGTTAAATCAATATACAGGTGAATGCCAGTGGTCAATTTTGTGGTGTGGCTGAAATGATTGGACCTGTTGATTTTGACAAGAGTGTCGACTACTGGCAGCAAGACAAATGGAGCGGGCAGTTCCCAGTTAAGTGGCATATCATCAAAGATGTTCCTAACAGTCAGTTTCGCCATATAGTACTCGAAAATAATGACAACAAGCCGGTGACAAACAGTCGAGATACACAACAGGTAAAATTCAATTTGCAAATGCAGCAACTTTTTTTTGAATTAGTTTTGTTTACTACATTGTTCCCAAGATCAATGTTATAAAGTACGGAAACACAAGGCAGGCATTTTTCCTCGATGACCTGTGGCGCGGTTCACCAATGCGTATGTCTCATGAAGGCCATTAGAGGCGCTGCCTCAAATGCTTGATTGGCTGCATTGAAGCACTCCATGAGGCATACGCCTTCTTCCGCTTTTTTAAAACCATGCTCAATATGTATGCACACTCACATATAAGAACTACATTAGATATACCGTCAAGATGTTTTCTTTCTCTCTTACCATTCGGTTGGCGTATGAAATCCTATGTATCAAGGTGTAAATCACGACTGATTTACTTGCATCAATAGGATGGTTGTTTCTTAAGATATAGGCATCAAATACCTGTATATTGTAAGGTTTTATGCATAACGAAAATCAAAGGATTATTTTTAATTATTATTGTATATTACAATTTGTATCAGAGCCACAGATCGAAACCCTAGCTCATTAAGCCTAAAACTCAACTAGCGCTAGTTTTCATGTGTTCATCTTTAGTATTTGGAATTATTTTTAATGCATTATTGTTCATTTGCAAATGTTTCATTGCAATGTTCATGGCATTTTTCATCCTTCTGCATTTAATTCAGTTGAATCACAATGACCGAACCCTCTTGAAAAACAAAGGGTTTGGTAGTGTTTACCCTTTCTAGTAGTGAATAACTGAATATAAGGAGTCTTTGTGACTCATGGCAGCCCACATAGGCAAACTCCTCTGCAACCTTTGTGGTTGGTAATTTTACGGTTTGTCCGTCTCACTTTAAGCCTCCTGGATGGGTTTTGGATTCGAGCCATGTATATTGTAATTCCTCATTTTCCTGAAATATCACAATCCAGACTTTCACATTATGTTACTCTTGAAGTAGAAACCAATCCATGTCTTAAACATCAGTACAATGCTACCTCCAATTCTCTACATGTTCAGACTAAACATACCAATATCCACTAGAGTTCACGCAATGGGTATTGGATGAGTCTTACAAACTTCCTTGTTGGTCCGGAATTGTCCTTCCGTTTGATTCTCATTCCTAAATTATGCTATAACTGATTTCTTCTTGATACATGACCGGAGTATGGGACAAGCAATTGGAGCACAATTTTAATCTTTCTTGTAGTCTCTAATACCTTTACTTCGCCTTTAAAATCTTTATAGTGTGAGTCTTGGTTAGGAAAACATGTTCGGGTCTCTTTTTCTAATCGTATTAATGAAAGAGTCGTCTTCCTTTGATATTGTTCATTCTAATGTTTGGGTTCCAAACCATGCTTCGTGTATCTTTGGTGTTAGGTGTTCATGTTACTTTCATTGATGATCTCTCAAGATGCACACGGGTATTCTTTATGGAAGATTGTTCAAAGTTCAATATTTTTAAGAACTTCTGTTCTTACATTATGACCCACTTTGGCAAAACAATTCTTGTCCTTACTAGTGATAAGCAAAAGAGTATTTCTCTTGATTGTCTTAAATCTTTTACGCATTCTAGTGACACTATGCATCAATCTAGTCCTCTTGCACCTCAACAAAATAGTATAGCCGATATAAAGCACAAACATATCGTTGATAAATCTCGTACTATCTTATTATGTGTTAATTGACCTTTAAAGTTCTGTGTGATGTCCTCGTATATTTAAGAAACTGGATGCCATCATCTGTGTTCAATGGTCACGTCCCTCATTCTCTTTTGTATCATAAGGACCCTTCATAAGTTCTTCCTGTCTGCTCTGTTACATGACACTTTTGAAATTATTTGTTATTTTAATATATATATATATATATGTATATATATATATATATGTGTGTGTGTATATATATATATATATATGTATATATATATATATATATATATATATAGGTTCAGGTTCAGAAGAACGGTTATCAGGGTGTTCCTCAGTTTTTCAATTTTTGAGGTTTTCCCGTGAACCTGACCCTATATATAGGGGACATTTCATTTACAAACCATGTAGTTCTAACAAACTTTACAAACCATGCAATTCTAACAAACTTTACAAACTAATCTTAGCCGTCCATCTAGTCTAATAGATATCTGATTTTATTTTCTTTCCTAATCTAATGCCATGACCATAATGAATGAACCTTATCATCTTCTGTATCTTAATCATGATTAATGAATCACGATAATTGTCCATAAATATCTCAATTGTTTCCTAATATAGTGGTTTTGTATGATTTGTAAGGATTACCTGGTTTGTATTTGAGACCACCCCTATATATATGTTTGGATTATGAGTTATTTGCAAATGTGAAATAATACAGGTGAAATTTGAGCAAGGTATTGAAATGCTGAACATTTTCAAGAAGTATGAGACTGATATGTCGATCCTAGATGACTTCGAGTTTTATGAAGAGAGACAGAAAGCCATGCAAGAACGTAAAGCAAGACAGGTGGGAAATGGAACCGAAAATAAAAACGTTGTGAATGATTTCATCAGGCAGATGTCCAAGAGTTTTTCTGAGGTTGTGCGACTGGACGAGAATGACAGAGGTGGTGCCGCTTTAGATGCTTCCATGTCAAAGGCCATAACAGCTGCTGAGACAAATTAACAAATGTTGGTTAATACACTTTCTTCTTATTAGGCTGATTAGAAGACATGAATGAAAGGAAAGCTCTTGTGAGTTATGGGCTTAATGGGGTTAGTGTATATAGCTTTCTGTTTCTGCTTGCTTTTTGGTTGATGATTTCTTTTGCTTCTAATCAAAATGGGCTTGGCTTTCTGCAAGTAAAAGTCCTCCCTCTTTAAGTTAAAAAAAAGGGTTGTTGAAGATGAATTCAAATGAATAAATATAATTCTTTGGTTCGTTATTGTTTTGTTTTTGTTTTTGTTTCTGTTTCAGGCCATGAATGCTGATACATGCATCAATTAGGCACTTGGAGATGTTGATTCAGCATCAAATTAAGCCAACTTTGGACCTTCTTATTAACATATTATTATTTCTTTTCTTTTTTTAATTATTATGATTATTATTATTCTATTGAAATATGATAATATTTTAATTACTTATCATAATAAAAAGATAATTATCAAGACTTTATATACTTTACATTATGAGAACTTACTAAAATATATTTGCTTAAAAAAATTAATCTCATAAATATACTTTTATGATATTTTTTATTTTTCAGAAATTAAAGTAAACAGTTAGTTTTGAAAGAATGGCTGGGCCATTGTAATTTGCAAAAATGTTCATATTTAATCCACTCTTTTAAGACTGTTAAAAAATCTTGTTCATATTTAGACCTTTTAACATTTTTCTCTCAAGTTTCTTTAAAAAATAAAATCCAACTATATTAATTATAAAACACACATGTAATATGCATATATAACAAAGTATGTCACCACTTCTACAAAATATACCACCATTCTTATGTATCAATCGTCCCTTGACTGTTGATTTCCGGTTACTATAACCATCCACACTCCCTTGCTACCAATAACACCATCTACCTTGAAAGTCTAAGAAAACTCACTTTGATAACTTAATACCGATGTTGGTTTTGAACCAAGAAAGATTTGCAACTATGACTAAATCTTTCTTCAACACCAAGCTTCTTTGTTGATGTTGGCTCGTATGGAAGACCGTCTCCTCCAAGAACCTATCTCTGATGAACCTTCCCTATGTGGTGGTACCTCTTTTGGATGGGTTGCACAAACGATGGAATCAACGTCTCCAAGACCCTCCTCACTCCACATCTCCACCATCACCGCATTGCTATGACATCAACTTTCTTGTACCTTTTCCTCTACCATAATCCCAACTCTCAGTTGTTTCTTCTTCACCAACTTTATTTTAGGAAAATAAAGAAATCTTAAGTTTCTTTGAAATGAGTTTTTGTAAAGCAACAATTTCATGAAGTGGACTTTTTTATTTGAAATAATCTCATCATGGATCTGTTGATTTTGAGTTTGAGGTTCAGATTTTGATTTAAGCTTTTAGTTTGAATCGACTGGTGGTTGTGATGGCAGAAAAATGACCAGAGGGGAGGTGATGGTGGTGGTAGTAGAAAGTAATAAGTTGAGGGTTCCTGATTTAAGTGGGTAGTCAAATAGGATTTGCAAAATTTAATGAAAAACACGACAAGATGTAAAAGACAAAAATACCCCTAATGCAACGAGGGTTAGAGGAGGGAAGAATCAAATCCAATGACCAAGCTATTAGTTTTGAATTTGGGCAAACCATAAGGACCAAAATTGTAATTTACTCTAAAATAAAGTAGATTTGTCAAAAAGTTAACGTTATCCGTAAGAAACCACATATAAACAATCTTGAGTTGCAAGGTGCAAACAAAACGTCATGTGGATGGCGATAAGACCAAAGAGGGCCACTTTTTTCAATTTTATGTGATTCCGCTTCAGCGTGTAGGCCTCCTTCCTTCCCTAGATGAACAACTCCAACTCCAACTCCAACTCCGACTCCGACTCCGACTCCGACTGCAAGTAAAAGTGAGATGGAGAAAATGTGGACCTCCAAGTTGTTATTATCGCAAAGCTCATCGTCACTATTCTGGAGGGAAATTGGTAGTGGATGGGTCACCTACACTCTTGCTGTCGTAACCCTCATTTTTGTGTGGCAATTCGCGAGGTTTCAAATCCTCCCCAGATTATCAATATTATTCAGGAACTCTTCTTTTGGATCCGCAGGACAATTGAACAATCCCACCGTTTCTGTTTTACCGTCATCCCAGCAACACAGGTTCGTAGTTCGCCCTTCTTTATTATTTTACTTGTTTCTTTTTATTGGATTTGAGTTTTCAGTCATTTATTTTGCTTTTCTCATATCCAATCTTGTTTTTCCCCCTTGTCTATAGAAAAATGCAACAATTACATCTGAGTTCTTATTCAACATGCGTTAAACTTGTTATCTAAACCTAAGTTTTTTAGCTACTAGCTATGCAAAATTCTTGGAGAAACTGGATGTTCCCATAGAGATGTTCAGAGAATGTTACTTAAGCCTAATAAGTTTACTTTGTCAACCACAAGGGTTATGGCGCATTGGTTGATGTACTGGGGGATGTGGTGGAATATCTCATCTACCCAGGGTTCTATTCCAGGCGTACATGTCAATTGTGGCCACTGAGTTTATTAGGGCTGATTTCTTGCATTCACAATTTGCTGGTATTAGTCAGTCATAGCCTGGGACACCCTTCCGAAAAGAAGTTCACTTTATCCTCTTCCCTTACCCCTCTTGCTCGGCTCAAAGCCATACTTGTTAGTTGTTACTGAAGGTTACTCAGTCACATAGGAAATACTACTACCAGACGTTTAGTCTGTCGCCAAAATGACTTCTGTTCATCTCATTATTGCTTGGGCTACTATCCATCACTGGCCTCCACCGATTTGATATCAAGAATACATTTTTTTGAGGAGGTCTGTATTCAACAACCACTTGATGTTGTAGTTGAGGCCTGAGGGAGGAGTCTTCTGAATTATGTCATCTTTGGCGATCACTTTATGGCCTTAAAGTTTAAACAAGCTCCGAGAGCAAGTTTTTTTCAAAAAAATTTAAGCTTTGAAATGTTTTGGAATGACCATGTGTGTTTTGTGATTATTCTGTGTTCTTCAAAGTTCAAACAAAGGGTCATAGGTATGTTATTTTGCTGATATTGTCATCCCTATAATGATCACGAGGGAATTTTAGCTCTCAAAGCTTTTATTCAAGATGTCAAAACCAAGGATCTCGAGAACCTCAAGTACTTTTAGGTATTGAGGTTGCTTGATCTCGCGTAGGGATCTTCTCGTCAACAAAAACATATTCTTGACATTCTTGCCGAAACCAACATGTTTGATGGCCATGATGCTCACTCTCAAGTGATCCCAAGAATCAAACTCTATCCATCTGAAGGAAAGTCAGAATATGCAGGAATATACAAAGATTAGGAGGGAAACTGAACTATCTTATTATCATTCGGTTGGATCTTGAATTTTCACTTGGTATGGTTTATTGGTTTATGTCCTCTCCTTGCACTAGTCATTGAGATGCAATATTGTATATCAAGTACCTCATAAGTGCCCCTGAAAAAAGGTCTTCTCTACACTGGTCAAGGTCACACCTGGATAGTTGGGTATTCTGATAATATTGTATATCAAGTACCTCATAAGTGCCCCTGAAAAAAGGTCTTCTCTACACTGGTCAAGGTCACACCTGGATAGTTGGGTATTCTGATGCAAGTCATGTTACATGTCCCTCCATTTGCAGATCCTCCACAGGATATTGCGTTTTTGTTGGTGGAATCTAGTACAAAAAACTAGTACAGGATATTGTGTTCTTTTTGGTTGAGAGATTTACATGTTCTGGAAGCTTAAGAGTTGAGACATTAGAATTTTTTTTACAAACAACATGTGAAAAGGCAACAGCCTTAGAAAGTTTAAAAAGAGTTTGAACGAAAGACAAAGTAAAAGACGTACAGACCTGCAATAAAAACAGCACTCAAATCAGCCTACAAGAGAGATATCTAAAAAGAATGTAAGAACATCTTACCAACCCACCCTCTACACATACAATCCCTTCCCCCTAATTGTAGAACTAAAAATCCCCTACTGAGATTCTGTAATCCTAATCCGTCTGTCTCCAAAAACTCCTAGCAGAGATCATGCCCTTAGAAATGCCTAGCACTACCATGTCCAACTGCAACCGTCCATCCCACATACTTGGCCTGCCTCTCCTTCTCACTCCTTCGACCGCTACGCTCTCCACTCTCGCCCTCAGAAATGCCTACTACTGTGCTTATGTTTTTATAACCGTACAGTCTACAAATAACAATTACTTGAAATGTTCTGTTTTCTTTTGCAACCTGGAAACATTGAAACTGTGGAAAAAGAATTTAAAACGAAGAAAAAGCTGAACCTTACATGAAGAACAAGTGAAAGCTACATATAGGTCGCAGATGAGCCACCAATAGGTAAAGACCTATTTAAGTGATTTTAATTTTGCTAAGCGGGTGCACACCTGGTGTGCATACAACACTTATCTCAGGTATCAATGATTATATATCTATGTGCCACCTGAGGAGCTGTAGCTGTAACTTTTCCATTCTCTCCTGCTATGTTTTTTTATCATCTAGGTTTTTCTTTTTTTGGTCTACTTCCTGCTCAGACTTGTTATATGTTTTATTGCAGTGTTTTCTCTTCATCATGAAACAGTCCTTCAAGCCTAAGCATTACATATTTCAACCTAAAGGTCTATTAGTAATATTGAACACCAGTTCTATTTTAAATGGATTGAGTGGCTCCATATATACATTCCAAATGTTGTTGCATGTATTCTGGGATAGGCACAGTAGTAGTATGTGTGGAGACAGCTGTGGAGATTTCTTTCCTTTTTAGGCAAGAGGAGTGGGTAAGAATTAGTGAGAATGGACTGAATTGTTCAGCCAGTGGGAAGATTACAGGTCAGGAGTATAATCTGCGCATAATGGCTTGAGCGTGATGTTGATCTTTGCTAACCTGCCCATCTAAAAGAGGTTTTTTCTATGAAGAGTAGGAATTGGTACTGTCCACAACTTAAATTTCATGCCGAACGCTTGATATATGGTGCTATGTAGCTTTGTATTACAACAAATGGCAGAGAGAGAGAGAGAGATAGAGAGAGAGAGAGAGGAAAGGACTTCTCATCAAATGTGAAAGTCAACTCCTTGTAGGCTTAAGCAGCGGAGTTGAGGGCATGATGATGCAAGTTAAATACTTAATTTTGGTGCACCGTCCTTGTTGATAAATTTGGAAGTAGACTTCTTGAATTTGTTGTGTGCCTCTGGCAGAGTAGAAAGGATTGTGTAATGCTTGTTTTGTTTGTGATTTGAATCTTCAAACTAGTATCCTTGGGTGCTATGCTGATGTGGGATTTCTGTCTGTTTCTGCAGAATATCAGATGTCATTACTGATTTGGATCTTAAAGTTTTGATGGACAGTTTGGATGAGACTGTTCATGGGAATGACAAGTGGGAGAATGTTGTTGATAGAAGAAATAATTCACTCTCCTACTATGTGAAGTGTTGCAAACCTAAGGTTATTGTTGATGCTCACCTAAGCATATGTTCGATAAGAAAGTATCCCATAAGTTTTCTTTACCATATCAATAAAAGTTCCAGTTATATTTATTTTGTTCAAGCTATAATAGGCGAGGAGCTCAACTTTTACATTTTAGCACTGTAGATTTTCAAAACTTACTGGTCACTTTTTGTGCTTTGACATCAAGTTTATTCCCGAACTCCCTTTAATTCTTACCAAGATGAAAATTAAAGTTGATTCATATCACTGGTCTTCTGGTAAAAATGATGATACAAACCTCAATATGATTATCACACTGAGAGTAATACAGTAGTAATTCAACTTTCGGTCACTTCCTCCCCCTTAATTCATATGTTGAGACCCCTGGAGATGCATGGACATGTATAGCTGCATATGTGATCATTTTAATATTAAGGTAGTTGCTTCTTCTTATTGAATTAGAGCTCATTCAAGTAGTTCCACACTTGTTATCGTCTTCAGTGTGATTCTAGCGTCTCTTTCTTGTTGAATTTTTTAAGTGTAATGTTGCAGGATGGTGGCCCCCCGAAGTATTTGAGTACGACAACATTCAATTTATGTTCTTCAGAGACACTGAGAGACTTCTATATGGATAATTTTTATAGAAAGGAGTGGGACAAGACCTTGATTGACCACGAGCAGTTGCAGGTGGATGAGAGCAATGGAACTGAAATTGGGCGCACTATAAAGAAATTCCCTCTCTTGACACCAAGAGAATACATTCTGGCCTGGAGGCTCTGGGAAGGAAGAGATAGAACTTTTTACTGTTATAGCAAGGTATAATATTGTACATGTTCTTAAATGTACAATTGATTTCTTACTTGGTATTTGAGCTTTCTCTAATTTTTATTTGTATTTTATTGCGTTGGATTTTCTTAGATGCTAGGAATATTTTTGATAGTTTAGGGGGTAACTAGATAATTGTATTGTTGTACCTTGGGCTTGCATCACTTACGAAGTGAATACTGGTAATAACTATGGGCCAAACAAGTCGATAAATATTTTTTGATGAGGTTGTCTAATAATACTGGCCACTTACAATGTGCACTTGTAATTTTTCTTCTTTGTAGAGCAGTTATTTGCATGAAAACAAGTGAATATATGCAATGGAGGATATAGGATTATTGTCAAGGGGTTGCCATTCTAGATAACAAAGAACCAAGATAAAGTTATGAAGTGATCTTGTGCGAAACTCTATGTACATACCGTGGGTGTAAGTCCAGAGAATTTGCAGATGTTATAATATAACTGAATGGAACTTTGAACCCTAAACGTAGGTTACTTATGAAATTGAAAATTCTAGAAATATCAAAATATTTGTTAGGACCTGAAAAGTAGTCAAAGTATTTTATTTTCCTACTAAATTAGATACTTTGTACATTTTCTTTTTCTAATTTCCAGATTTTTGTTTCACAATAGAATCACGAAGTAGAGTTTTGTTATACCCTGGGGTAATGTAGTAAAATAACCAAACATAGTAGGCTGGGGTACAAGTGTTTAATGCAGTAATACAAGTAGGTGAAGCAACAAATATGAAATCGGTTAGTAGTAATACTTCAATATATATAAGGGTTGAAAGCAGGGGTAGGGTATCGATTAGTTTGCTCATTTTAGATTGGCGAAAGCCATGGGAGACCTCGACAGTCTTGGTAGTGCTGGAAAGCTATTGTAAGCATTCAGTTTGGAATCAAATGCAATCTAGTTTTACTCAAATTAATACATGGCGTATCAAAGCAGTGATGATGGGGACAATACGAGTTGGCGAGATGGCGGAGAAAATGAGTCATCATGATCCCTTTCTTGAAGCTTGTTTCTGAAAATATGCTAAAAACCTTGTTCTCGTTCTTTTGCCTTGTTAAGCTCATGCTCCATACAGGGCTCTTAAAAATGTATTCAGTGTCATGAAAAGGATATGACAAATGAATCTTGGCACCTGCAATTATTAGTGCTGGCGAAAGCTTTTGCGTAGTTCAAGACATTTTCACAAATTAGCATGCAACATATTCCTATTGTTGAAGTGTACAATTGACTTGTTTGACTTATTGATCAATGTTCATCAATGAACTTAATTTACTTGAGCGACTTATTATTCTATTCCATTTGTTGGGTTCTTGAAGCAAAGAAATTTGTTTGTCAGACTTCTACTACAATTTTTTTTGAAGTATATAATATTTCTATACGGCAAATAGCACAAATAAACTCACATACCCTCCTCACCTTTGGTGAGGTTTGAACCCTTGACCTCCTACGAGGCCAAGGACTCACATACCGCTAGGCCAAAGGCCCTTTGGTTACTACAAATTTTCTTATTGTTATGCATTTGCTATTTGTACAATGATGACATTAACCATGTTGTTAGGAATGTGACCATCCTTTAGCTCCAAGACAAAAGAAGTACGTACGGGTTGGCCTTTTGAGATCTGGTTGGAGAATTAGGGAAGGCAAGTTTCTACTTTACCCTGTATATTGCTTTTCTAATCCTAGCAATAGCATCTATCCTTTTTTCCTGTTTTTGTTTCCTTATATTATCATCCAAGTAATTGGCACTATTGGTGCTACTCAATGTTCTATTTATTCAACAAGGAATGACTTATGTTAGTTGTAGACAATATGGTGAACCACTCTATACATGCTTCAAATTCCTAAGTTCAGGCTACTGCTTTTCCATATGCATTTTCTTTGTCATTTTGTGCATATAAGCTTGCCTGCTGTTTCTCAAAATTAACTCAAAGTAAATCCAACTATATGCAAACTAACCACAAGGGTTGTGGCGTAGTGGTTGAGGCCATGGGGATGCGGTGGAATATCCATCTGCCCAGGGTTTGATTCCAGGCATACACAACAATTATGGCCACCGAGTTTATCAGGGCTGATTTCTTGCAGTCACAATTTGCCTTCTATGCATAGCCTAGGACACCCTTCAAAAAAAAAAACTAGATGAACTGTAGGAAATGCAACAAGTCACTCAGGTTCAAATCCATATTGCCATTTGCCAAGTTTATTTGCATTACTAAACTGTTTTAGTTAGTTTCACCTTGTTTTTTTATTGGATTTATGTCTACATTAAAAAAAACATCGTGGAAATTATTGATCAAGAGTTTCACCCCTGACACCGAGTGAGAAAATGAAGAAAAAGAGAAAACAGGAAGTGATTTTTCTTTTTTCACTTACATGTTGATGGCTTCCCTGAAATTTTAAGCAACTGCATGAGTAAACGTTTAATTCGCAATGGAATTAGCCAAATTAGGTATCTGAAAAATGTGGACTTTTGGCGCATTAGAACTCCCTTAACTGAACTGAGAGATCCATGAATGGGGATCCTAATGCATATCGGTACAAACAATCCACTGGTGCTAGAACTGTAGGAGCATGTGCATGTTAATCCACCATACTGAATTACCTAAATGACAAATGATTCCTTAACTGTTTAGCTTTATTGAAATTACTTTCCCTTGCTCCTAGACGAGGTTTAGTCTAATGTTTTCCTTCTCTTTCTTTCTTCCTCTTTTCTGTTACTTTCTTTATTCTGTTGAAGTATCTGGTAGAAATTCATGTGAGATCAAAATGGTTCACCAAGAAGATGCTGGTTTGAATGTTGAAATGGCAAAGATGATATTTGCCAAGGGCATATGGAGTTATGTGTGTAAAATGGATAATGCTCTTCGGAAGTATTCGGCCATCAGGCGTATTCAATTGACTTCAGTTGTGAGTGCAATCACTCTTGTTCAGAAGGTGAGTGTTTTCATTAGCATCACTTATGAATTGTTGCTAGATCTTGTACATACAACCAAACTCAAACAAAAGAGAGTTGATGCCATCTTTTTACCGTAGCTCCTAACTATTGATAAGCAACTGGTAAAAGTAGCCATGCAGAAGGGCCTTGGTAATGGGTATAAGTTGTGGCACCATCTTTCTGGTATACTGGGTATTGTTCCTGTTGAATCAAGAAGGTGCTGTTTGGTTCATGGATCCATGCGATTTCAGGGAATTGGAATGGTCAATTTCTTTGACCAAATTCCAATTCCTTTGTTTGGTTCCCTTGTTGAAATGGATGGAATCCTTTAAATTCCACAAATTAATGATTTCATCATTCCTTGACAAAAGTGAATGCTGAATTCCATCCCTTGGCAAATGTAACATATTTTATAATTTGATCTTTTAAAAAGACAAATAACTTCTGCATCCAATTTAACCAACACCAGCCCCCTTTGTGCACCCCACCCTAACCCCCACTGTCACTATGGTTCGCTGTCACAGCAGCACCCCACCCCTACCACCACACTACTATTGTCACCCCCACCACCCATCCCCCNTGTTGCCATCACAACCGCCAGCCACCCCCAAACCCTCCCTACCATCCAATACAAATGATCTCATCATGGCTGAATTTGATATTTTTTTTTCTTGTAGGTACCACTGGCATTGGATTGTTGTACCAGCAAGATTGGTGACATGGGTGATGATCCAGAAGAGTACGGCAGTGAGAAAAAAGTGAGACGAAAGCCTTCAAAGAAATTGATAGCGAATGGATTGATCCTTGTTGGCGGTGTAATCTGCGTGGCTCGTGGACACCCCAACTTCAGTGCAAAGGTTGCCATGGCATTTGTATTAAGTAGGCTGACAAAGCATCGCCAAATCAAGGAACCGTCTATTACTATACACTAATTTAAAGAAGGAAGGAAAACAGATGTAAATTGAAAGCTCAATTGCTGCTCAAGTATATAGTTTTTCTTTATAAAAACATTGCAAAAAACATTATACACGGATATAACTTGTATTCTACCTACACTTGCTTTTGGCCAGCTACTTGCATCATATCAATCAGGCTTATATGCATAACATTTTGACTCTCTTCCAATTCAGTCCTAGTTACTTGTATTTGAGATTTTTCTTTTACTAAGACTACGAGGATGTAGCGGGAAAATCTCTTCTTTTCTAGAGTTCGAATTCAGGTGTTGTCAAAACCCTGATGATCATGGGGGTTCACCTGCGAGAACTTTAGACATTTGTGATCGCTAGAAGATTAGTTGGTGCGAATAAGCTGACGTGGACATCTATGATTTCAAAAAAGAGTATTTCAAATTCACACATTAAGAAAGTTGCACTTGAGATTGAAAAATTTTGATTGAAATCCGTCTTATTTTCCTCGTTGGAAAATAAGAGTTTATAGTTTAAAAATATATAAGAGTTTATAGATTTGAAAACATATATATATATATATATATATATATATATAAAGTTTATTTTAAATTTAGATTCTTTGTTTATAGATCTATTTGATCTTACTTGGAATATTCTTGTAGATTACAAGATATTATCATATCAATGTTGGATATTAAGGCACATTCTTAATTTTATACTTTATACGGGTAATTAATCTTGTATTTGAAACTTCCCCATCTCTCTCTATATGATAATCATATAATAAGGGATACGATCAACTCTACAATCAGAATGGTTAATAATGCATGTAAGTATGATGATATTGAGCTATACGACGGCTCTTCTTTATGGATCACTATTGTCGGTAGTACTTGTTGTCATTATAAAGAAGAACGAAAGAAACAATACTTTTAGAATTAAAGCTTGAGAGCTTAATCCAAATGATGACTATTGCTTAACACAAAGCTGTTGAAGATACTAATTACTCATATATCTCTACTAACTATATTGAACCTTCTATAATTAACTAAAATTATTGAAAATACTAACTCAAAAAATACAATATATCGTGTATATATAGTTATAATAAGAAAATTTACAACTTGACCACCACTTTTATATTAATTATTCCAAAAACAAAAGTAATTTAAAGATGTAATTGAGTAATATATTAGCTTTAAGAAATTACATGTACAATCAACTATTAATTATGGTAAGAATCAAAACTTTCATTTATATAATATTCTAGTATATCAAAACGATATTATATACAATACTTTATGTGATAAGTGTTAATCGGATAAAATTCAACCTGACTTATACGAGACTCGGTTTTTGTCATCGTTCTTATAAAAAAATATTAACGATGATTGTCATATTAATCCAGTAAAATAAATAAGAATATAAATACTAATATTAATTAGGGAAGGAAATTAAGAAGAAATATAAAAAAGTAGCAGAACATCGAAAGGGACACGTGGTGGTGAAAGGAAAGACAGGTAGGCATGCAAGTGATACGTGTTGGTAATTTAAAGAGAACTAGTGTGTGTATATATATGTATTGGTGATTGGTGTTGGGTCAGCTACTCTGGTACAGTGGGGAAGAGACAGAGCATAGAAATGGGACAAGGAGAGGAGGAGACGAGAAGCCCACCGGATGTCGAGATTCAGGTACATATATATATTCCCTTGATTAGTTAATTTGTATGTGTATGTGTATGTGTGTCTTAATCATTCATATATATATATATATGTATATATGTATATATATATATATATGTATGGGTGGAATGGATACAGGAAAGAGGAGAAATATATTTCTTATACAGGCCTAAAGTAGAGAAGGAAGAAGCACATGGCTCCGATGATGTGCAGCGAATGTACATAATCTTAAGTCCCCACGACTCCATTCAACACCAGGAGGCAACTACTCAGGTGCATGCATGCATGCTTGCTTTCATTATACATATATATCTATGTATAATTACCATGAACACCCCGATCAATGATATTACTATTAATGAACCACATAGGAGGTGAAGCACGATCCGCTGCTGCGGTTGATTGTTATGGGACGGAAACGGCTTCCTGATCCAACCCAGAAGGGCACACCCTTTTGGGGTTTCGTCGAGTTGGTCACCACCAAGATTCAGGATGTCAAGAATGCTCTGAAAGGAGGTTAATTTAATTCATTCTTTATATATTAATCACTTAAATAACAACTTTTCATTCATTCTAATTGCATGTATATGTATGTATGTATGCATGATAGAGGAATACGATACAAAGACGAGGGGACACAGACATAAGCCTCCAGCAAGAGCCTTAGGGGAAGGCGTGTATCGCATACTAAAGCATCACATAAGACCAGAAGATAAGAAGAAGATGCACACTCATCTGATTTACAAGCTACAGTTCCCAGCAGAAGACGATGATCAAAACCAGCCACAGGAGGCTTTAAATGTGGAAAGGGAAGCCTCCTTCCTCATACAGATCAAGAATCCCATCATCAATCGAGATGTCAAGAGGAAGCAGGCGACGTTTCCTGCTCACCTGCAAGCTCAGTTTGGGAAACTACGATTCCATGCTGCAGATCCACCAGAGTTTCTTAACTATGAAGGATGTGAGTTTTTGCTGATATCAGCATCTGATGACATACAACAAGAGCTTGGATTAGAGTTGAAGTTACCAAATGAGCTGGATGATTCTTGCTCCCATCTTCTTAACACTTTTGGGGAGCTTGCATCCACAGATGCCCTTTTCAGAGGCATTTGGGTTTGATTATACAAGTTCAACCATCACCACCTTACTTTAATTCCAAACCTACGTAGACGGACTCTCTCTCTCTCTCTCTCTCTCTCTATATATATATATATATATATATATATATCTGTGTGTGTATATATAGCTTCAGCTTTTCTTGTTGATTAGGTAGCTAGTATATATATGTAAGTATGTACATGTGATGTAATCAAGCTAATCAGTGTATATATAGCTTCAGTGATGACAAAAAGAAGACAACTGATTAATCTAACTAGTATATACAAGTAGGTACGTAGGTTGTAACGTTAGACCGTATGAAGACATGTGAAGCTCATCACCTTCCACATTAACTTTTCAACACATTTTCAGGTCCATATGAAAGTTATTACATACAACGTAAAATTCACACCACATTGGGAGTCTTCACCATTTCTTGCGTATCTCCCAAAAAAATAAAATTTCTTGGGTTATCTCAAGTGTGTATAACATTGTAGATGACCCACACAAAGTTTGTACGGTCAGAGCTGGTAAAAGACATCTCATTGACATTGTAAATAGACCACATAAGTTTTCATGGCAATCCGGCACGGTTGGTCCGAGCGAGAAAAATCCAAGGGTAACCCCTTTGTGTATCGGTCAAAAATGGGTGTTAACGCTAAAACGAGCATAACTTTTGCTACGAGACTCTTTTTTATGACATGACCATTCAAATCAAAACTTGGAACAATTATCACGCCATGGGTTGGAAGTTTTTGGTAATAAAACATGATTTGTATAGGTTCCAATGACCCGCACAACGCACATTCATTCGATTTGACCAATGTATGGTTTTGGAAATTTCCAACAAGAGAACGTTTTTTTTTTCCAATTCCATTATGGAAGGAAAACATCTCATTAGCATTGTACATGGACCATGAATTTTTTTGTGGCAATCCGGCACAGTCGGTCCCGATGAGAAAACCCCAAGGGTAACCTTTTTGCGTATCGGCCAAAAATGAGTGCTAATGCTTAAACGTCAAATCGAATCTTGGAACAAGAAGCACACCATGAGAATAAAGGTTGTGATAATACAACAAGATTTGAGTGAGTTTCGACAAACTGCACGATGAGTTTTCTTTCGATTTGACCAATACGTGGCTCCGGCAATTTTCAGCATGTGAACGATTTTCTTTCAAGTTTTTATGGTGGAAAACATCTTATTAACTCTGTAAATAGACCATGGAATTTTTTATGTCCATCTGGCACGATCGGTCCAGACGAAAAAAAGCCCCAAGGGTAACCCCTTGGTATATCGGCCAAAAATGGGTGTTAACGTTTAAATAAGCATAACATTTGCTACGAGACTCTTTTTTAGGCCCATGTCCAGTCAAATAAAAGCTTGGAACAATCATTATGCCATGGGTAGGAAGTTTTTGATAATAAAACATGATTTGAGCATGTTTCAATGAACCGCACAACACACAAACGTTCGATTTGACCAATGCATGGCTCTAGAAATTTCCAACAAGAGAACCTTTTTTTTTTCAATTTCATTCTGGTGGAAAACATCTCGTTAGCATTGTATATAGACCTTTTTAGGACCATGAAAATTCAAATCGAAGCTTGGAACAATCAGCACACCATGGGAATGAAGGTTTGTGCTAATACAACATGATTTGAATGAGTTTCAACGAACTGCATGACGAGCGTTCGTTCGATTTGGCCGATGCGTGACTCCGTCAATTTACGCTAGGAGAACGGTTTTTTTTTTTTCAATTTCTTTATGGTGGAAAACATCTTATTAATGATCTAGATGAATCGAAAAAAGTTTCATTGCAATTGGGTACGAACGGTCCGGACAAGAAAACCCCAAGGGTAACCCCTTTGCTTATCGGCCAAAAATGGGTGTTAATGCTTAAACGTACATAACTTTTGTGCAATGAAACTCTGTTTTAGGCCCATGACAAGTCAAATATAATCTTGGAAAAAACATCATGCCATGGGTAGGAAGGTTTTGGTAATACAACATGATTTGAGTGGGTTTAGACGAACTGCACAACGCACATTCATTCGACTTTGCCAACGCTTGGCTCCAGAATTTTTGCAGTAAAAAAACGTTTTTTTTTCAAGTGTTTTCTGTTAGAAAACATCTCATTAACACAGTATATTAGAAACGATCGGTCTGGACGAGGAAAGCCCAAGGGTACCTCGTTGTTGTATCGATAAAAAATGAGTGTTAACGCTTAAAAACGCATAACTTTTGTTATACGACTCCGTTTTAGGCCCATGACCAGTCAAATCGAAGCTTCGAAAAGTAAGCACAACATGGGAAGAAAGGTAGTGATAATACAACATCATTTGAATGGGTTTCGACGAACTACACGATGAGCGTTCTTTCGATTTGGCAAATACGTGGCTCTGACAATTTCCGACACGAGAATGATTTTCTTTCAAGTTTTTATGGTGGAAAACATCTCATTAACATTGTAAATAGATCACAGAAGTTTTCATGGCAATCCGGCATAGTTGGTCCGGGAGAGAAAAACCCAAGGGTAACCCCTTGGTGTATCAGCCAAAAATGGGTGTTAATGCTTAAACGAGCATAACTTTTGCTACAAGACTCTTTTTTAGGCCCATGACCATTCAACTCGAATCTTGGAACAATCATCAGGCCATGGGTAGGATGTTTTTGGTAATAAAACATGATTTGAGCAGGATTTGATGAACCGCACAACACACATTCGTTTGATTTGACCAATGCATGGCTTTGTAAGTTTTCCAGCAATAGAACGTTTTTTTTCTTTCAATTTCATTCTGGTAGAAAACATCTCATTATCATTGTATATGGATCATTAAAATTTTCATGGCAACCCGACACGATCGGTCCGGACGAGAAAAACTCAAGGTTACCTTAATTGCTGTATCGACCAAAAATGAGTGTTAACGCCTAAACATGCATAATTTTTTCTATGGGATTCTTTTTTGCCCCATGACCAGTCAAATCGAAGCTTAGAACAAAGAGCACACCATGGGAATGAAGGTTTGTGGTAATACAACATGATTTCAATGGGTTTCGACGAACTGCACGACAAGCGTTAGTTCGATTGGGCGGATGCGTGAATCCGTTAATTTCCGGCATGAGAACGGTTTTCTTACAAGTTTTTGTGGTGGAAATCATCAAATTAACATTATGAATAGACCATAGAAGTATTCCTGGCAATTCGCACGGTCGGTCTGGACGAGAAAACCCCAAGGGTAACCTGTAACGCCCCCAGAACCCCGTAGCAATGATATTGTCCGCTTTGACTAACCTGCCCGCTCAACCACAAAGCAGTAGTCGCACGGTTTTGTTT